ATTATCTATCACCAGGGTCTGTATACCCATCACCAGGGTCTATATACCCATCACCAGGGTCTGTATTATCTATCACCAGGGTCTGTATACCCATCACCAGGGTCTATACACCCATCACCAGGGTCTATATACCCATCACCAGAGTCTGTATACCCCTCACCAGGGTCTATATACCCATCACCAGGGTCTATATTATCTATCACCAGGGTCTATATACCCATCACCAGGGTCTGTATTATCTATCACCAGGGTCTGAATACCCATCACCAGGGTCTATATACCAATCACCAGGGTCTATATACCCATCACCAGGGTCCGTATACCCATCACCATGGTCTATATACCCATCACCAGGGTCTATATTATCTATCACCAGGGTCTCTATACCCATCACCAGGGTCTATATACCCATCACCAGGGTCTTATATACCTATCTCCTGGCTCTATCTCTTCTTTCACCAGGTCTATATACCCATCACCAGGGTCTATATACCCATCACCAGGGTTTGTATACCCATCACCAGGGTCTGTATACTCCTATCACCAGGGTCTATATACCCATCACCAAGGTCTATATTCACTTCACCAGGGTCTATATTTACATCACCAGGGTCCATATTATTTATCACCAGGGTTTATATACCCATCACCAGGGTCTATACAATCATCACCAGGGTCTATATTATCTATCACCAGGGTCTGTATACCCATCACCAGGGTCTGTATACCCATCACCAGGGTCTATATACCCATCACCAGGGTCTGTATACCCATCACCAGGGTCTATATACCCATCACCAGGGTCTATATACCCATCACCAGGGTTTGTATACCCATCACCAGGGTCTGTATACTCATCACCAGGGTCTATATACCTATCACAAGTGTCTATATACCCATCACCAGGGTCTATATACACATCACCAGGGTCTATATTATCTATCACCAGGGTCTGTATACCCATCACCAGGGTCTGTATACCCATCACCAGGGTCTATATACCCATCACCAGGGTCTGTATACCCATCACCAGGGTCTATATACCCATCACCAGGGTCTATATACCTATCACCAGGGTCTGTATATCTATCACCAGGGTCTATATACCCATCACCAGGGTCTGTATACTCATCCCCAGGGTCTGTATACCCATCCCCAGGGTCTGTATACTCATCACCAGGGTCTGTATTATCTATCACCAGGGTCTGTATATCCATCACCAGGGTCCATATTTTCTATCACCAGGGTCTGTATACCAATAACCAGGGTCTATATACCGATCACCAGGGTCTGTATACATATCACCATGGTATATATTCACCAGGGTCTATATACCCATCACCAGGGTCTATATTATCTATCACCAGGGTCTGTATACCCATCACCAGGGTCTGTATACCCATCACCAGGGTATATATACCCATCACCAGGGTCTATATACCCATCACCAGGGTCTATATATCACCAGGGTCTATATACCCATCACCAGGGTCTTTATACCCATCAATAAGGTCTGTATACCCATCACCAGGGTCCATATTATCTATCACCAGGGTTTTATATACCCATCACCAGGGTCTGTATACCCCTCACCAGGGTCTATACCCATCACCAGGGTCTATTATCTATCATCAAGGGTCTATATATCCATCACCAGGGTCTGTATACCCATCACCAGGGTCTATATACCCATCACCAGGGTCTATATACCGTCACCTATTTCTCACCAGGGTATATCATCAAGGGTCTATCACCAACAGTCTATATTTATCACCAGGGTTGATTTATATCACCAGGAGTATGTGCATCGCAGAGGGTCTGTCAAGGGTCTGTGTATCACCAAGGGTCTATGACTCTATGTATCACCAGGGTCTATATTCACAAGGGTCTTGTGTATAACTAATATTCACCAGGGTATATACCAAGGGTCTGTGTATCATCACCAGGGTCTGTGTATCATCCACCAGGTGTCTATCACCAACAGTATATATACCCATCACCAGGATCTATATACCAATCACCAAGGTCTATATCCCGATCACCTATTTCTTGTTATCAACAAGGGTCTATCACCAACAGTCTGTATTTACATAGGTTTGATTTTGATATCACCAAGAGTATGTGCATCGCAGAGGGTCTGTCAAGGGTCTCAGTATCAACAAGGGTCAATGACTCTATGTATCACTCAGGGTCTTTATCACTAAGGTCTTGTGTATAACTAATATTACGGTATCACCAAGGGTATGTGTATCATTAAGGGTCTGTGTACTACCACCAAAGGTGTCTATCACCAACAGTCTATGTATCAATAAGGGTCTATGTATCACCAAGGGTAGATTTATTACCAAGGATATGTGCATCATAAAGTGTGTGTCAATAACCAGGGGTTTGTGTTTCAACAAGGCTTTCTATCAGCAGGGTACTGTATATGTATCACCAAGGGCCTATTTATCACCTAGGGTCTGTATCAACAAGGGGAATTTATCTCCAAGGGTCTATGTATCACCATGATTATGTGTATCACCAAGGGTAAATGTATCTCCAAGGGTCTATGTATTACCAAGATTATGTGTATCACCGAGATTATGTGTATCACCAAGGGTATGTGTATCAAATAGGGTCTGTGTTCTACTAGGGAACTATGTATCACCAAGTGTCTATGTATCACCAGTGGTCTATGTGTCGTCAAGGGTCTTTTTATCACCAAGGGTATGTGTATTACCTAGGGTCTGTGTATCACGAAGTGTAGGTGTATCAATTAGGGTCTATGTATCACCAAGGGTATGTGTATCACCTAGGGTCTGTCTATCACCAGTGGTCTTTGTATCACCAAAGGTCTGTGTATCACCTAGGGCTTGTGTATCACCAGTGGTCTATGTATCACCAAGGGTTTATATATCACCTGGAGTCTGTATCAAATAGGATAAGTTTACTTAGGTTATGTATGTCACCAAGGGTCTATATTACCAAGGATATGTATATCACCAAGGGGTTGTGTATTATTGAGGGTCTGTGTATCACCAAGGGTATATATTGTCTCACCTAGGGTCTGTGTATCAACTAGGGTCTGTGTATCACCAAAGGTCTATGTATCACAAAGGGTTTGTGTATCACCTAACGTCTTTGTATCACCAAGGATCTGTGTATCACCAAGGGTTTTCACCTAGGGTCTCTGTATCACCTTGGGTCTATGTATCACCAAGAGTCTATGTATCACCAAGGGTCTGTGTATCACCAAGGGTTTGTGTACTTTTTGTCCATCAGCAATGATCATTAACCTATCAGAAGAGTGTGTATACTTATTACATAAGTCTGAAAAGCCATATTAAAGATTTTCCCTCTTGCGGGGTCGAAGTACCTTATTTTCTGTAGAAAGTCCAATATTTTTTGCATTATCAAAATGAAATCCAATTACTTTTAAGGATGTTTTTGGGTGTGTTCAGTTACAAGGTTAACATCTTGTAGAGAAGCCCTGATCGAATTGTATAATGAACTATAATGATTGTCTTGAGATTAAAATTTCTTGATTTAAAGTTATTATTTTTTGTTGTCATTTTAGCATTCTTTTTTTTTATTTTGTAGTTGAATCCTTTTAAGGGGGAAGCAAAGGACATTGAACTTTATATCGATAGACAAAGATATCTTATTTATGTGGAAATATTTTGACATTGAAAATTTCAGTCATCATGTATCTTGATTCATCTATTTCATAAATGGAAAGAAATCATAAAATTCCATCATGTTGTTCATTTGTTCCACAGAAAATCTGAACATATACATCTCTTCATAATTAATGAAGTGTGCAATGGTAGAAATCCTCATAAAAGTAGATCGACCAACACAAAGTTCAAATGTCATTTATGTTCGATGTAGAGGTATATGACAGTAGAACAAAAGTGCCAAAATAGATGCATTCTACAAACTTTACAAATTCTGAATAATTACATTTTGTCAAGTAGAAAACCAAAGTGTAGTTTTGCTTCAGGGAAATGATATGCAGTGTCTGTAATTTTTGAATGGGATGCAGTTGTCTATGGCAAAGCTCATCTGTCAAATCTTTTCACATGAAGATGTAAAAGACCTGTCGCATCAAGTGCAAAGCTTTGGCCAAGATTAAAGTTTTGTTAAGGTCAAATGTCAAGGTCAAAGATCATATGCAAAATAAATTGGACTCCTAATAGTTTTGTCAGGGGCATTACACAGGTGAATTATGCTTTGATCAGGGCACTAGTAATTCTTAGCCGGCCTTGTTGCTGAAAGAACAATTGCTGGCTATTGTCAGGTTGTTTGAGACAGGAAAAGGTTGACACCGGCCACAATCGGCCAATTAAAATTACGTATAAAATTTTTATCCTTACCCTTAGCCGCTTTTGATTTATAATAAGTGTATGAAAATTAAACATTATCATAAGATAAAAAAAATAAAGTATTCATAAACGGTTTGTAATAGATAATTCATATGTTGAATATGAGAGTCCGATCTTCTGAAAAGTATAGGGGGTCGACCTTTCAATGAATATGTTCAAAAGTTAAATGATGCGTTTAGAAAACAGGGGGAAGGGGGCAACCCCCCCCATGTTACGTGCCTTGTCAATACGTTAGGTGCCTCTTAACATCTATGTGCAACATACACATAGATATTTCATGTTACTTTTTATAAATGCAGGTAAGGAGGTTTTTGTTATAAATATAACTCATGTATGTACAAGTGAAATCTGAATTATTAAAATTTTTATTTCCATCAAATGTTCCGAATATGCAACTTTCATTCGAATAAAGTAAATGAGTAGTCGACTAAGGTATAAATAAATATTTTGTTAATAAAATTTATCTCAATTTATCCAAAAGAGGAATCAAAATACATCATGATTCACATTAACAATGTAAAGATATTTCCACAATCCACATAAATAAACTCTTTGCCCGTCGTTTTAAGTTAATTTGAATATCCTTTGCATCCTCTTTAACAGGCTTACACTACAAAATAAAAAGTAAATAAGATCAATATTAGAATCAAGAAATTTTAATCATAAGAAAATCAATATACATGTATTTCTTTATACAATTCGATCATGCCTTCTCTACAAGAGGTTAACTTTACTAAACACATCCATAGACCTTCTTAATATTGGATTTCATTTTAATAATTCAAATTATGTTAGACACCATATAGGCCTACAAAATTATGCAATAAAACCCTGCAAGAATAAAAATTTCCTTGATATGGCTATTCAGACATATGTAATAAACATGCACACTCTTATGATAGGTATTCAAACCCTGCTGATGGACAAAGGTGCACAGACCCTCGATGATACACAAACCCTTGGTGATACACATATCCTTGGTAATACAGACCCTTGGTGACATACATATATACCCTTAGTGATACAGATCCTTGTTGATAAAGACCCTAGGTGATACAAAGACCTTTGATGATACATAGACCACCGGTGATACACAGATCCTAGGTGATACATAGACCTTTGGTGATACACAGACCCTAGTTGATACACAGACCCTAGGTGATACAATATATACCCTTGGTGATACACAGACCCTCAATAATACACAAACCCTTGGTGATATACATATCCTTGGTAATATAGACCCTTGGTGACATACATACCCTAAGTAAACTTATCCTTGTTGATACAGACTCCAGGTGATATATAAACCCTTGGTGATACATAGACCACTGGTGATACACAAGCCCTAGGTGATACACAGACCTTTGGTGATACAAAGACCACTGGTGATAGACAGACCCTAGGTGATACACATACCCTTGGTGATACATAGACCCTAGTTGATACACCGACACTTCGTGATACACAGACCCTAGGTAATACACATACCCTTGGTGATAAAAAGACCCTTGACGACACATAGACCACTGGTGATACATAGACACTTGGTGATACATAGACCCCTGGTAGAACACAGACCCTTTATGATACACATACCCTTGGTGATACACATAATCTCGGTGATACACATAATCTTGGTGATACATAGACCCTTGGAGATACATTTACCCTTGGTGATACACATAATCATGGTGATACATAGACACTCGGAGATAAATCCCCTTGTTGATACAGACCCTAGGTAATAAATAGGCCCTTGGTGATACATATACAGTACCCTGCTGATAGAAAGCCTTGTTGAAACACAGACCCCTGGTTATTGACACACACTTTATGATGCACATACCCTTGGTAATAAATCTACCCTTGGTGATACATAGACCCTTATTGATACATAGACTGTTGGTGATAGACACATTTGGTGGTAGTACACAGACCCTTAATGATACATATACCCTTGGTGATACCGTAATATTAGTGATACACAAGACCTTAGTGATAAAAACCCTGAGTGATACATAGGGTCATTGACCCTTGTTGATACTGAGATTCTTGACAGACCCTCTGCGATGCACATACTCTTGGTGATATCGAAGCCAAACCTATGTAAATACAGACTGTTGGTGATAGACCCTTGTTGATAACGAGAAATAGGTGATCGGTATATAGACCTTGGTGATTGATATATAGATCCTGGTGATGGGTATATAGACCCTGGTGATAGATAATACAGACCCTGGTGATTTTTATATAGACCCTGGTGATTTTTATATAGACCCTGGTGATTAATATACAGACCCTGGTGATGTGAATATAGACCCTGGTGATGGGTGTATAGACCCTGGTGATGGGTATATAAACCCTGGTGATGGGTATACAGACCCTGGTGATGGATAATATAGACCCTGGTGATGGGTATATAGACCCTGATGATGGGTATACAGACCCTGGTGATGGGTATATAGACCCTGGTGATGGGTATATAGACCCTGGTGATGGGTATATAAACCCTGGTGATAGATAATATGGACCCTGGTGATGGGTATACAGACCCTGGTGATGGGTATACAGACCCTGGTGATGGGTATACAGACCCTGGTGATAGATAATACAGACCCTGGTGATGGGTATATAGACCCTGGTGATAGATAAAACAGACCCTGGTAATGGATATACAGACCCTGGTGATAGGGTATATAGACCCTGGTGATGGGTATACAGACCCTGGTGATGGGTATATAGACCCTGGTGATGGTTATACAGACCCTGGTGATGGGTATACAGACCCTGGTGATAGATAATATAGACCCTGGTGATCGGTATATAGACCCTGGTTATTGGTATATAAACCCTGATAGATAATATGGGTAATGGGTATACAGACCCTGGTGATGGGTATATAGACCCTGGTGATTGGTATACAGACCCTGGTGATGGGTATATATACCATGGTGATGGGTATAAAGACCATGGTCATAGATATAATACAGACCCTGGTGATGGTTATATATGATATAGACCCTGGTGATGGGTATACAGACCCTGGTGATAGATAATATGGCCCCTGGTGATGGGTATATAGACCCTGGTGATCGGTATACAGACCCTGGTGATGGGTATACAGACCCTGGTGATGGGTATATAGACCCTGGTGATGGGTATACAGACCCTGGTGATGGGTATACAGACCCTGGTGATGGGTATACAGACCCTGGTGATAGATAATACAGACCCTGGTGATGGGTATACAGACCCTGGTGATAGATAAAATAGACCCTGGTGATGGGTATATAGACCCTGGTGATGGGTATATAAACCCTGGTGATAGATAATATGGGCCCTGGTGATGTGAATATAGACCCTGGTAATTGGTATATAGACCCTGGTGATGGGTATATAGACCCTGGTGATGGGTATACAGACCCTAGTGATGGGTTTATAAACCCTGCTGATTGATAATACAGACCCTAGTGATGGGTATATAGACCCTGGTGTTGGGTATATAGACCCTGGTGATGGGTATACAGACCCTGGTGATGGGTATATAGACCCTGGTGATATATAAACCCTGGTGATAATATGGACCCTGGTGATGGTGATGGGTATACAGACCCTGGTGATAGATAAATAGACCCTGGTGATGGGTATATAGACCCTGGTGATGGGTATATAGACCCTGGTGATAGATAATATAGACCCTGGTGATGGGTATATAGACCCTGGTGATGGGTATATAGACAGACCCTGGTGATGGGTATATAGACCCGGGCGATGGGTATACAGACCCGGGTGAAGGGTATATAGACCCTGGTGATGGGTATAGACCCTGGTGATAGATAATATAGACCCTGGTGATGGGTATATAGACCCTGGTGATGGGTATGGTGATGGGTATATAGACCCTGGTGATAGATATGGGTATATAGACCCTGGTGATGGGGTTAGTAACCCTTGTGATAGATTAGATGGACCCTGGTGATGGGTATATAGACCCTGGTGATGGGTATTACAGACCCTGGTGATGGGTATACAAACCCTGGTGGTGGGTATTACAGACCCTGGTGATGGGTATACAGACCCTGGTGATAGGTATACAAACCCTGGTGATGGGTATACAGACCCTGGTGATGGGTATACAAACCCTTGTGATGGGTATACCCCTGGTGATGTGTATACAGACCCTGGTGATGGGTATACAAACCCTGGTGATGGGTATACAGACCCTGGTGATAGATAATACAGACCCTGGTGATGGGTATATAGACCCTGGTGATGGGTATATAGACCCTGGTGATGGGTATACAGACCCTGGTGATAGATAATACAGACCATGGTGATGGGTATATAGACCCTGGTGATGGGTATATAAACCCTGGTGATATAATATAGACCCTGGTGATGGGTATATAGACCCTGGTGATGGGTATATAGACCCTGGTGATAATACCCCTGGTGATAGATAATATGACCCTGGTGATGGGTATATAGACCCTGGTGATGGGTATATAGACCCTGGTGATAGATAATACAGACCCTGGTGATTGGTATATAGACCCTATAAAGACCCTGGTGATGGGTATATACAGACCCTGGTGATGGGTATAAAGACCCTGGTGATAGGTATATAGACACATGGGATGTGTAAACAGAACCAGGTGATGTGTATACAGACCCTGGTGATGGGTATATAGACCCTGGTGATGGGTATATAGACCCTGGTAGATAATATGACCCTGGTGATGTGAATATAGATCCTGGTGATGGGTATATAGACCCTGGTGATGGGTATTCAGACCCTGGTGATGGGTATATAGACCCTGGTGATAGATAATATAGACCTTGCTGATGGGTACATAGACCCTGGTGATGGGTATACAGACCCTGGTGATGGGTATATAGACCCTATAGATACAACAGATGGTGATACCCTGGTGATGGGTATATAGACCCTGGTGATAGATATACAGATATGGGATATAGACCCTGGTGATAGGTAAACAGACCCTGGTGATATATATAGATATAAACCCTGGTGAAATATAAATAGAAACTGGTGATGGGTATATAATATAATTAAAAATAAAATATAAACCCTAAGATAATATGGACCCTGATGATGTGTATATAGACCCTGGTGAAACAAACCCTGGTGATGGGAACATAAACCCTAGCAATACATAAACAGAACCTGTCTATAATAGAGAGAGAAAAAAAAAATAAATTAAAATATAAATAAATTAATTAATTGATTAATTTTAAAAGAATAATAATATAAAAAGGAATAATTAAATAAATAAATCATTATTTATTAGTAAATCAAACATTTACTTATTTAATCAGAAATAATAAATAAACCAATAAATAAAGAAAGAAACCAATAAATAAATAAACAATCAAGCAAAATATAAAGTAAGTAAACAAATAAACAAACAAATGAAAATTTAAATGAATTAAAACATAAATAATAAATTAATCAATAAATTTATTAATTAAATAAAAGATTAATTGATTAATAAATAAATAGAAAAATTGATTACTCATTAGAATAATTAATTAATGAAGAAAAGAATGTATTCATAAATAAACAGACAAATAAATTTCCTAATAAATAAATAAGTTACTTAGTTTATAATAATTATTACAATTAAAAATAAATAAATAAATAAATAAAGAAATAAATAAATAAATAAATAAATAAATAAATAAATAAATAACAATAAATGAAAATAATAAATAAATAAATAATGATAATAATGATGAATAAATGAATGAATGAATGAATGAATGAATGAATGAATAAATAATGAATAAAATAAAAGATTAAATAAACAAATAAAAACTAATTGCACTGTCGACTTATTAATTCTTCGGCTTTTTAGATAAAATTTTATTGAATTATGCATAAATTTCTGCATCTGAAAATAGCACTCCTAGTTTTCGTTATATATTCCGAATTTCCTCTCTCCCGTTTTCCGATCTCGATGTAAATTTGTTGCGCGCATGCGCTCTGCCTGGTTATAGAGGCTGGTTACGAGATATAAAATTGTATTCATGCTACCTATAGTAAATTTGAACTAGGGCCAAAATGTACGAAGCTCTCCACTGTAGCGACTCCGAACCGTGGCTTGAGACGATGCTCTTCAGTCTTGAAAGTCTTTGTCTTTGGATATACATTGCAATTGATTTCGGTGGTCAATCATTCGATGACTTTTTTTTGGGGGGGGGTCATGAAGAAAGGAATGTTAAATAAATTTGAAGGTTCCTGTAATATAAATATTTCCAAAACTTCAAAGAATGAATTGCATAGTCTGTATAGAATTTTTCACACAATGGGCTAATTTTAAATTACATATATTGTGTTGTTTGTCAGGTTCTGTAAAATAAGTAGGTATTTACCTACCACAGCTTTAATTACAGCAACTTGAAGTATATAAATTCATTCCTTGCTTTTAACCATTTTCTTATGATTTCAATATATTATGTGTATATTAGAGGTGACACGAGCATTCAGGACATATCAATACAGATCTGTTATCATTGAATCATATTCTTTCAGCATCAGATGATATTCCTAAGGACAGCTTGTGTTGGATTATAAAACATAGAGTAGCTTATAGAAGGCAGTTATGTACAAATAATGGAGGAAAGGGTAAACACAAACATATTTGAAGAATTTTTAAAAGGAAAGTCCTTCATAACAAAAGAGTTTTACATTGAGCCTGAGATAGAGGAGGAGAAGTGTGAAGATTTTAAGTATGTCCCAGAGAAAGAACGAGCAAACAAAGTGGAGGTGGTAAAGCCAGTCCAGGGACTCAGGGAGGCACTGCCATCAATAGAAAACACTGTGGTTGGGCTGTTCTTCTCAGCGGGATGGTGCGCTCCTTGTCAGGAATTTGTTCCTTTACTGAAGGACTTGTATGAAGAACTACAAATGAAACGCTGTCCATTTCAAATTGTGTTCATCAGTTTTGACAAGACAGAGGAGAAAATGAAGGAATACTTTATGGAACATCACGGAGAATGGTTAGCTATTCCTTTTAATGACAAAACACTTAGAGAGTAAGTGTATTCTCAATTCCCTTTACTATAGGATACCTTATGGCAAGTTTATTTAAAATTGGCCAACTTAAACTATTAAGAAAATTGAAGCTTATTTTTGAATATCGACTTTAAATCCCTGTAAACTAATAAAAGCTTTTTTTATTTATATATAACTAATATTAATTTTTTATCATGTATAGAGCATTCCGAACCAGATATGATGTTAATTCCCTTCCAAAGTTAGTGATTGTCAAAGACACAGGGGAGATAATCACAAACCAAGGCAGAAAAGAGGTACAAGACCGGGGGTATATTGGTTACAGAAACTGGAGAGAGGCAGCCAATCTCCGGGACAAGGGAACACTACACTTCAGCTCAATAACAAAACCCAAACCAAGCTCTGAGGAAAAGGACAGTGATGTCTGAAAGACTAGGATCGGAATGTGGAATTCTGTAAATTAAGCTACTTGTGTAGAGTTGTATTCCGAGAGACATTGTAAAGTTTTCAATTAACTGGAGATGGTACATGTATTTGGTGATGGTAACAAATAGTGTCTTGGTAAACTGATAATTTCTCAGGTAACTAATTTTTAAAAATTACAGTGTAAGGAAAATATTAAATTTATGTAATAAAAGTGCTAGCGCACTGCAACAATATGTTTTCACATGTAAGCTATGTGGTACATGTACTTCAGTTTATTTTGTGTAAAAATGTATCCAGCATTTATACATTTCATAATAAATCATATCTTGCCCAAACTGGTGTCCTTTCTGCATACAAGAGGAAATTAATCTTATACTCTGTACACTTGATGTTGCAGGGGTTGATTTCATTTAAAGATCTTTGAACAGTAATTTTTATAATATGAAGAAATGAAATTTATTAAAAAGTTTTATAATTTCTAATTCAATAATGCAACACTGTAATTTAAGTGTCATAAATGGAAATTTTTAACTGTAATAGGCAAAATAGCTATCTTTAAATTGTAGCTGCAGAACTGAAGCTCTCCCCCAAAAAATATATCAACAGACTGGAGAGCTACAGTGCTACCCATCAAAAACAAGAGGCCCACAGGCCATATAGGTCACCTGAGTATTCCATAATTGAATCTGATTCGTGTTTATAACCTGAGGATACGAAATTCATAATTTTGAAAGAGGCACCATTGCTTATCATAATTATACACTTAGCATGCTTACTTTGGTTACTTAATACCCAGAGGTAGATCAGAGTAACAAAGAGAAAATTCAGGTCCTCTTTGTAACCACTTGTGCACCCCTCCTCAGAGGAACCACTGACCCTGGGGCTACATATTTCAAAATTTTGGAAATGTTATCTTGAATTTTCTTTCATAAAAAATTGTTGATTAATATCAAAGTGCAGATTTCAAAGCATTAATTTATGTTCAGACTATGTATCTCCCCCCCCCCCCCACCCCCACTCCAAATACCTCTGACCCAGGGGCCCGGAAAATAACCATTTTGGATGATGCAGCTTTTTTCATTATAAATATGTACTTAGATCATTGGCATAATATCCAGAAGCAAAGGAAAAGATTTTCTAAGAATTCATACATTTTCATTATATACACATTAGAGCCCTGCCCTAACATAAGAGGCCGTGGCACAGGGGCCATGAAATTCACAAATCTCAAAGAGGCATCCTTCCTCCTCATAACTATGTACATAGTTCATTGGTTTAATACCCAAGCACAGAAAAGAAGATTTTCAAAGAAATACTTCATTTTTCCTATATAGTCTTTACAGCCCCGCCCTAGCACTAACATTAATGCTCAGGAGCAGAGAAGAACAATTTCAAAGAATTGATGCATTTTCACTATATAATCTATATAGCTCCGCTCTAGCACTCAAATCCCTGACCCTGGGGCCAAGAAATTCAGAATTTTGGAAGAGGCAGCCTTATTCAATTTAACTATGCACTTGGTTAGTTTATTTAATGCCCATGAGCAGAGAAGAATTTTCAAAGAATTCATGGATTTTCACTATATAATCTATATAGCCCTGCCCTAGAACTAGAACCCCTGACCCTGGGGCCATGAAATTCACAATTTTGAAAGAGGCAGCCTTATTCAACATAACTATGCACTTGGATAGTTTATTTCATGCACAAGAACAGCGACGAAGAATTTAAAAGAATTCATGCATTTTCACCATGTAATCTATATAGCCCCACCCTAGCACCTAAGAACCCCTGACCCTGGGCCATGAAATTCACAAATTTGGAAGAGGCAGCCTTATTCAACATAACTATGCACTTGGTTAGTTTATTTAATGCTCATGAGCAGAGAAAAAGAATTTATGCATTTTCACTATATAATCTATTTAGCCCCACCCTAGCACTAGAACCCCTGACCCTGGGGCCATGAATTTTACAATTTTAGTAGAGGACTCAATGCTGATTACAATCAAACAAACAGTTTGACTGCTTGATGTCCAGGAATTAAGAAGAAGATTTTTAAAGATTGCACTAATTTTCGTGGTTTTGGCCCCACCCCACAGGCGGGCAGGGACCATAGAGACAAAATTTTTGATGATCTCAATTGTTTTGTTGTGGTAACATGAAAGAATAGAACACAGGCTTAGAAATTTGCGATGACAATTTTAAAAACATGGAGAAATAAATTGAGAAACGACACACTTTTTTGTGCGCAATAAATATACAGTTGTTTCAATAGGTGGGGCTGTAGCTCTCGAGTCTGTCAATGTTTTTTTGGAGAGCTACTGTTCTGCAGCTACCCGGTATTTAAATTGGGTAATGGTTACAAAAATTACACTATTTCAAAGTTCAAGTATAAATATACTGGCAGTTTAAACATTTATCTTATATGTAAAACACTTCCAATAACTTCCGGAAAAAAACAAAAAAAATTAAGATTAATACTTTTATTGTATAACAAAAGTCACAACAACAAGGTCTTAAAATGAAAAGAAATCATAACCGTCTGATTAAAATACATCATCAATAAGCATTCACTAAATACAAGTATACTGTATAATCTGTGTGGTCAAAATTTTAGTGCTGTGTGCTCAAGAATTTTTCAGTCCAATGAAACATACGCTGAATTAAAAGACAAAAACTGCACAAAATAACATCAGGCTGGCTCCACCAGAGTTGCTTGGTTTTAGAGTCGGCCTTCATTAAGTCTTCAAGTCAGAGGATGCTCCATCATTTGATTAATACCTGAACAGACTGCCATAAACTGTTTCTAAAATTTTAAGCACACATTTTCCTAGAGAAGAGCTTGTTTTAAATGTCACCAGTATGAGGGGAAGTCTTTTTCAACAGTCTGGAAAATAAAATATAGACATTCAATACACAAGCATCAAATACAAAGTTCTTACTGCAAAAACCAGAAGTCACTGATGAGACTGTAGCTCAATCTACTGATTTTGTATTATAAAATATTCATATTTTTTGTAGCCATGGTAATGGTAATATAAGGTCATATGAAGGGTCAATGTCAGAAAATTTTGACACAGTTGCATAACCTTCTAAATTTGTATTTTTTTAAATGGAAGTTGATGGAAATATCTTGAACATTTTCTTTGATGAAAAATGAGGAAAAGTATGGTCAAGGTCATAAAGAAGAAAAATGAAACAGTTGAATAGTCCCTAGCAATATATATTCTTGTATATGTGTTGATAAAAAGTTTGTCAAAATTTTTTTTAATACAGTAACTGTTGGATTAGATAGAATGTTCTATTGTTAAAATGATATTGTCCTACGGACCAGGTTTAATGATAGAATTCGTTCCATGTATTCGTAAGGCCAAAATAAAATTATTATTTGTTTGGAATTGCCTCCCACCTCATTGAAATGCCCCCTCCTGAAAAATTTTTATTGACCAAAAGTAGGAGGATTTTTTTAATTTAATATTTAATCAATATTTTGCCCGTAATCACACGCACCATACAAAACACTGAAATGTAGTGTCAGATCTATGCAAAATTAGGTTTCTTGGTTGATTGTAGACACTTTTTTTTAAAAGTCAGAAAATGTATTTACTGTTTACTGAGATTTTTATCAAAATTTAAAATTTGTCTTCAATTAAAAAAAAAAAAATTTTAATCCCTCCCTCCTGTGTCTGAAACCCTTCAGGCGGCAATTCCAAACAAACAATTTTTTAAGGATGGCCTAATGTAGCAAAAGAAACACAGGTGATAACTCGTACTCAGTGCATTTACTACGAACAATCTAGAGAGTTCCGAATGTAAATATGGCAGGTAAATTTGAAGCAAGAAAAAAACGTTGGATTTTGTCTTTATATGGATTATTTTTTGGATAAAAGGCATAAGCAATCTTAAAAGGGTTTGTTATAATTAATTTGGTAGTTATTTCCAGTGCAAATCCTTTAATATTCTTCAAAATTGTTTCGGAGCAGATCCGCTCTGATTTGCTACATTGCAAGTATATGGGACATATTTTAACTGTGGTGAGGGCTTGTACCGAGACACAGGTAGATTATTCTAACTACTGTTGGATAACTCTCATTGATTTGTATCTTCAAAAAGTTTGAAGAAAATATCATGAGCAATATCTTTGAAAATAAATTAAATGCAAATGAGGAATAATAGGGTTTAAGTACCGGTAAAACAAAGTCTAGGTTGGAAAATTGAAACTATTTAAATTTCAAAATCTTCCAGTATTAATACATCAATGTATGATTTTAATTAACAGAAAAAGTGAGGTCAAGGTCACAAAGAAAAACCAAAAAAAAATTGACACAGTTTGTAGTTAATTCTGAACAAAGAGTTAACAATGTATCCTTTTGATGACAAAAATTTAATATTTTCTTTGAAACTTAATTAAACACAAAATTTAAATTATTGAAGTCATAAAGGAGGTCATGGTCAGAAACTAATGCCACAGTTGATTAGCTTTTACCAATATGTAAATGTGTATCAATTTGGTTATCTTGTTCAATAAAGAACAGATCAAAAGAGTCGATGAAATAATATAGATTCTTTTTATTTTACAAATAATTTTAAAAATCTTTTATACATATATGTTCTATCACTATAGTTTGTAATATGAACAGAATATCAGCATGCCCTAATGTAATTAAGGTTTCAGAATATGATTATTTTATATAAAATACATGTTTAACTTACAAAAGGTTCTGTGTTGGGTGCATATCTTTTCACAGGTTTCCCATTCTTGTCCACCAGGAATTTTGTAAAGTTCCATTTAATAAAGCTGAAAGATGACAATGAACAAATTGTTTAAAACCTGTTTAATTTACTGGGTAACATTCATCAGATTCCCATGTGTAATAGTTGGAAATCTGGTATTGTCACACATTGTAAAAATGCATGATTATACTTTGGTAATATATACATCTTTTATAAATTATTTGACCAAAATGTATAGACAAATTCAAATCGAAGAACATAAATATGTGTGTCAAAACAGACCATTTTCTTTTTTTGATTTTTTTTTACAAGAATAATATAATATGTGTAACCAAAAGGAAGAAAAATAAAAATATTTCTACCTTATAACCAAAGCTAAAAAGCATTGTTTGATTTTCCCACAATTTGAAAGATACCGTATAAGTAGAATTTTTAGTGAGGATTTAATTTTGGCATTATTAGCAAGGGTGCCAAGATCGCTAAAATTAAATGTCGCTAAAAATTAATTGCATTTTATTTGTAATAGCTTTTTTGATGTGCATTTTAAAATCACTAAAATAACATCTCGCTAAAAATAAATTACCAGTTTTTAAGGACAAATAGCTTAATTTGCGTCTCACTAAAATTTCCACTTATACGGTATAATGTCCATTTAATATTGTAAAGCATCTTATTATATCACAAAATAAGCATCTTTGGCACTTGATATTTTCATATTTTGTAAATGATGGTATAATCCAAATGCTAAATTATCCAAATTTTTTTATTGTCTTTTATATTTTACAAATGGATCATATTTTTTAAAAGCAAGATTCCAAAGAGCATATCTCTAATAATTAACATTCAAAAGCTCAGTGATGGTGCATTCCTTTCCGAAAGTGACTACCAATACTAGGTGATCCACTAGTAAATCCCCCATCAACACTTAAGTCTTTCTTTACATGTTGTAATTTTCTAGGTTACCTCTCGGGCCCTATTTTTCACTGACTGGGTGACAAAAATATGCAATGATTCTTAATACCCCCACTGTTGTCAGTCACTTTAAAAAGATCTACCTGGAAAGGTCTGTGGGTTGTTTAAAATTACTTATTCAAAAATAAAATTAAAACAGGAAAAATTTACATTGATCATGAAAAAAATACCCCCGGTATAGAATATCATAGAGTCATTTTGGTCAGATAATGAAATAAGAGTCACCTATTTAGCATGCCTAAGCTAAGCAATAAACGATACTACCAGCCAAGCACCAGAGTGACTCTTGACCCAAGGACTTACATGTAACATGACTTCATTGTAATGTAAAAAATAAAAAAAAGGGAGAACTGTCGGTATATATGTACAAGATCAAATGATTGCTTTTTAAATGCATAATCATAAATTTTACAGATCATTAATGTAATCACTTTATTTGTATTTTTAAAAGCACAAAAGCATGTACATCCATATATATAAGAGGCTACTTGTTAGATTCATTAGTAACCGAGCAATTAAACTGTATACTTACTCTCCTAAAGTGCCTCCTTGTTTTGATTTCAAAAATTTATACAGTGGGTGGGCATTATTTCCGTTCACCTCTATTTTGCTGAACATGTCGAACTCTACACCATATCTTTCTGTGGCAAATTTCTTTATTTCCTCTTCAGTGCCAGGTTCCTAATACAATTCATGTATAAAAATTAACTGCATATACAGTATACTAAAGCAACAAAGTAACATACCGGTATACTATGACCAAAAGGTCAAAATTCTAATTTAAATAACCTTGGTCCTTTGGTTTTTCAATAGGTTTTTTTAAAAAGGTATTTTTCCTTTGTTTAATATTGACAAGGATGACCCCATATTGTACCTCCATGTTATGGTGTAATATTGTTTCAAATCTTGAGGCTTTCCACACAATCATATATATTTATGCAGTGAAACTTAATCCAGCATTCTGCTGAAGACGAGTTCTTGTCATATAAAGAAAAATGGAAAAAGTATAAAATGGGAAGGAAAATAGTTGTAAAAATTTCATCAATCACTTTCTGTTTCAGACATTTGGACTGACAAAGGTAACACTATAAATCTTAGTCTGGTCAATCAAGTCCAATTATTTGACATACTTCCAATTATACTCCTGCATACACCAGGTATAATAACAAGATGACACTTACCTGACTTCCAAACTGATTACAGGGAAATCCAAGAATCCTAAGGCCCTTTTCCTCAGCGTACTTTTTGTGCAGTTGTTGTAGCTGAGTGTAGTTCTTCTCCGTGAACCCTCATTTAGAGGCCACATTGACAATGAGAACCACATGACCTCTGTAATTTATAACATTGTATGATCATATTAGACATTGTCATATTCTTTCTGTAATTTACGGAGACATATGTGACGAACCAGACTAGAATCAAAGACTATCACTACATGTATAGTAAGGTTCATTTCTTTTGAGTCGTGAGGTATCTTGGCCCCCTCCCCAGTGATTGAAGTGATTTGCCCGCATATTTCTTCCTCCTTAAAAGTCTATCCCAACAGTCGTACTGTTATAACTTCCAGGGCATGGATACAGCACCTAATGGAAGGATAGACAGGGTTATGATTTGAACCTTAACCCCCTGAATCACTAGTTAGTTAGTTAGCTCTACCTACTGAGGTATTCAGGTATACATATGGCCTTGATAAGTGATGGAACTTGTTTAACATTTCCTCATTCCATTGATGAATATTAAATAACATCCTCATAATCTGAGCAAAACTGTGCTTGTACTACCAGAAGTTTGAGAACTTTTTATTTTTAAAGTAATACATGTGTATTTCATTAATAGCTGCCTACCCTTTTTCAGGTGCAATTGATGGAAGAAAAATTGCAAAATTAAATATATGTTACAAAATACAGTTCTAATCATCACTTTCTTTTACCGGTATTTCTATTACTCTTACATTTATTTTTAAAGTTTTCAAGGTTTAGTAGGGCTTGACTTTGAACAGATAATGACTTTTTTGAATTCCATTATAATTTTTCAATGTCCCATGACATTGTTATACATTGTATAATTAATCTTAAAATTCTCAGCATTTCATCAATTACAACAGCAACTTTATTTTTGAGAGAATATGACACTTGACCTGTTGAAATTAAGGGTAAATTGCACTCTATCGAAGTGAATCATATGAATGTAATGTTTTATCAATAATATTGATCAATATAAAACTTCATGTATTTATTCATGTATATGCAAGTAAATAGGCCCCCATTCTTGAAATTATGGTGGCTTCAATACATTTTTGAAAGAAATATCTACTCCATAATATGACCCCAATCTAGCCTCAATATCTTTAATAGCCTAACCAAACTTGAATTTTCAATTCATGGGTTTAAAATACCATTGTATATAACATAACCTTGTAGTTTTGGAAACAATGCTATTAGAGTTTCTCCCCATTAACAAGTATTATCCACACACTCTGGGTATTTAATCTCATCCTACCTCCAGTGTCCATAATCAAAACAAACCTGAATGAACATGATAAAGAATGTTTGCTCATCAGTATGACCTGGAGTCACCTGGACACTCGGGCCCTTCGTTCGTGGCCCCAAACTACTCCTAGCGTGGCCCCAAACTACTCCTAACGTGGCCCCAAACTACTCCTAAGGAGAAAAGCTTTCAGAAAACTTCAATATGCAAACACTATAGATTTTAGCATATGAACTGGACAAAACATGGTCCTGCTGCTCATTAGAATAGATGATCCTAAAAGACCATATGCTGTATACAGGGAAATTTTCACTTTTATTTTCGATTTTCTTCTTGATTGGGCATATGAACTGGGCGAATTTAAATTACACAGCATAGATTCCTAAGCAAAACTATGAATAGGCGAATTTAAAAGGGGGCAAAATTGTTCGCAAGTGCAAAAGGGCGAAAATAAGACGGGGCGAAAATAACCCTGTATACAGTATTCCTATATGTCAAATTTGCATCCCCTATTGTGGCCCCATTTTTCCCATTTGAAGAAACTTGAATCTGCTCTATCTGAAAATGTTTGTTAATGATATGAATGTAATTTAAAAATCCCTAATTCTTTGTAAGTTTAAAGAGATAATTTCCTAAATATTCTTAAATAAAACTGAAATATTCCATATTTTCTCAACCCTAATTCCAGAGGCTACCATTTTAACAAACTTGACTTTGTATTACCTATACTTGTCTAGTGAAACTTCATTCCCATCAATGTCTTTGGCAGAAAATTCATATATGGAAGTGGCAGATTTCCAGTCTTCTTTAGGTTTTGCCTACAAATAAAGAATTTTTTCTGCTTGGTTACTTCCTGTTAGAAAAGCATTTTATCAGCATCTATTGATTTAATGTTATTTTTTTTTTCAAATCTAAATCCTATCAATAATGTATTAAATCAACATGGGTGCCATTGGTCACCCCTAAATTCATTGATGAACGTCCTGCCAGGGACAAAAAAAAAAAAAACCTTGGGTAGTGTCATCAAGGACAGACAAAATTTAAGGAGAGAGAAATGAAATGGTTTGGTCTTTGAACATGATTCTGGATACTAAGCTCAGCTGTGCAGTGCCTGATCAGTAATGCATCCATGGTTCAATTTTCCAGTACATTCCAATACATTTTCTCCTTTCCTGTTACACTTGGTGCTTTGACATGGTCTGGAACTGATAATTCCTGCTCGGAGCAATAAGAACAGGGTAGAGAAGAAGGAGAAAATTATGCAATGGGATATAATGTATATAATGTATATACTGGGTAGACCTGGATAGCTCATTTAGTAGAGCACCAGTGTGGTGATACAGGGGTCCTAGGTTTGATTCCCAGTCCAACCAAACATTTTCTCTTACACACACACCAGGGATCGACACTAATAGTTGTCCGATTGCCCGGGACAAGTTAATTCTCAGTTTGGGCAAGTGAAATTGTCGATGTACTTGTACGATCGGGCAAGTAGATATTTCTGATAGAAAAACTTTTTAAAATCTTTCATAAGTTTATAAACACAATAAATGGAACACTTGATTTCCGCAAACAGCAGGACGGTGTATCTTGATTCAAAACATGGCAACTGTTTTCCTTTCAGCATGACCTCAATTTTTTTAAGGAAAAATCAAAATTTCAAAAGAAAAAATAATTTTGTCGTAAGAAAATAATATTCCTGCAGTACTCTGTGTGTTTTCAGAATAGTAAATGACAGGAAAGTGGATTACATATATTTACAAATGTAGCATCACCGTGATATCAACATTTTTTTCCGGCAGTTAACTTCAAAATAGGAATTAATTCATCACTCTTTGATATTTTCAACAACAAATTAAAATACAGGAACTGGTATTTTCTTCTTTAAAAATTTTGGGCAACTAAGTTTTGCATTCGAACAAGTCAAAATTGTAGTTCACTTGCCCAAAGGACAAGTGAATATAAAAGGTAATGTCTATCCCTGCAAACAGTGTGTTCATTCGTCAAGAGAATCCCCTGTTGACAGAATTGGTAGGATTTATGTGTTATGATTGTGATGAGATACTCTAACTAAAAGTATGCTTTAAATGATTGAATTTTACTCAAGCGGACTTCATTACTGACATGAGACATTACAGTAAGAGTAACACACACTTTTTAAATAAATCAATATTAATAGATGCGTTTGCATTAATTTTTTCATTATTAAATGTATTAAAATTAGATGGCATTGCATAAAATCTTCAAATTCTTTCCTTTAAATGTAAATCAACCTGACCATAGTTACATAAAACAGCTTTTTCTCTTTTAATTGCAAATATTTTCTTTTCATTCTGTTTAAAGAATGTGGGTGGACTTAAGCGTCCTGAAAAAATGCCGTAACTTGAAGTTTTATAAATGTTTATCTCTTAATTCCATAATATAAATCACCCATATCTTAACCTTGTATCTTTGCTACAAATATGAATTTAAATAATCATCAAAGGCATGGGACCCCAAAAATTCTTGAATATCAATAGATAATCAGGGTCACACTTTTTCATCATCTAAGTAAATAGTCTGACTCAGTGCATGACTGACAGCTGTTCTCAAGAAAATTGTAGTTCAACGTTATATCAAAAGGAGATGAGCTGAAAATGTGCACTCAAACTAATTACAAAAACATGTTCAAAGCAAACTTCTCACTTCATTGCCATGGCCATGTTAACCTTGATTTGACTTTGATTAACCTTTTAACCTTCCCAGGGGCCAGAGAATTTCCCCCACCTATAATGATGTAATCCCCTGGTTATTTTGCTATTCCTCCTTAACTCTCTATTATGGGACAAACCTCACACCCCCTTCTACTTTTTTTTAATTTCCCCTTCTATCTATATTCTGAAGCCTGACATACTATAAATTATATTCTTAAATGTGGCCTCCATCTTAATCATATCTTAAAACACATTTGGACGGTCAGCTGTTTTCAAAATTTAGCAAATTTATCTTATTTTAGTGTATCCTCACAATATCTACTAGAGATATCTTTTAATTTCATATTGACATCACTGTAATACACCATAATTCATTTTTTAGAGAGAGAGAGAAGAAGAGAGTCATTTACACTGACAATGGGTAAATCCGCCTGCTACTGATATTAATTATGTAACCTAAATACCACTCCGGGTTCAATCATGTAAAATTCAGGACGACACTAATGTAACATTGCCTCAATTTTGAAAGTGACTACTAGGAAGAGTTTTGTACAATTTATGTATTACCTAGGTCTAGCTATTGCTTGTAAAATAATTTATATTCACTTCATTCAGAGCTTGGTAGAATGTTCACGTGAAAAAGAACCAAAATAGGACATTAACTCCACCGGTCTTAATTAACTCCACTCATTCTTTGGACTTGTCTTACTTTGACCTTTTCATCACATCCTATTCAGAGAATTCTAATCAAGATGATTAAATAATACCAAGACTGGCAAGAGGTAGATAGATCATACAGACAGTTAAAAGAGTGTAATAAAGGCGTTTGGGTAATCCTCGCATAGAAAAAGAAAATAGATTTTATAGAATTTTTTTTTAATTCCTCAGTTTTCCTTAAACCGTTTAGAACATCTCACATATATTATCATTACCTGTACAGAAGAAACATGACCCATGTTGTTAAATAATCTCGCTCTATACAAGACAGAACTAGCCTAGCTATTTAAGTATTCGCTATTTTTAAAAGAAAGACTGAAGGTGGATCCAAGGGATTTTTTTTACAATAAAAAATAAATACATCTCAAATGGTCACCATGATGTCTTAAAATACATACAAATGTAAAGCTTTTAAAAACTACCTGTACATACCATAGCGTGTATAACGGCTTGAATGGACCAAGATGATGTGATACCTTTCACCACCTTTGAACCCACTTCAGAACAGGAAACAGTGCGTAGCGCTGTAAACATTTTCCACCTCCTCGGGAACCCCTCCCTCCCGAGGTTTTCCGAACTGCATTAATCTGGTTCCCATTACCTCACAGATTTCGTCTGCCTTCGTTAATCTCTAAGGATTCAATCGCAACTTCTCTGGCCTTTCCGACAAACGTGGTTGTTTTTCCGACATGCCTCACAGTCGACAATACTCGGCAGACTCCGCTATGCTCCGCTCTCTTCAAAGTCAGCGTGCGAGGTACGAGAGCCACCCGAGGACCTCCGAGTGCATGCCTGGTAGCGGAATCAGCCGAGAATGCCGGAAGAACAGGGGCGGAAAACCAGGTTAACAAGTTAGCTTTCTTTTCATAAAATTATATTGTAAAACACTTTTAATAAAAATAAGCATTTCCTTAAAAGTGTTTGACTGTCAATTGTCCTTTTGAAATAAATCATATGTTATTTTCCCCTTCTGTTTACGAAACTAAATACGCCACTGACTCCGCTTGGCATATTGCATGTGGTAAAAACCGAATCAGTTTATGTGTTTATTGCAGAAGCAGCTAAACAAAGCCAAAATCTGAAGTCTGAAAAAAAAGAGTGGGTTCTTTGCTTCAAAAGTAAATGTATATATCATTTTGATTATGGACGACGAACAAGAAACATACAAATTATGGCGTATACGAAAAACAATAATGCAGGTAAGTTTTTATACCCTCCACTTCAAGTTTCTTACATGTAAAACGTAATAAACATTACACTTTATATTGGTACTGAATTTTATGTGATACCTTTGTAACCAGGATACTTCCCCTTCTTGTCATGTAGTAGTAAAGCTTCACCATTGAAAAATTTACGTAGAAAGTTAAGTTGTCTGCTTACCAGGTCCAGTACAATCTCTTGATTTAGCTATATAGCTTTAAATAGCTATATAGCTTTATTAAGCTATTCAAAATAGCTTTATTTAGCTATTTGTTTACAGTTTTTCACAAAAATGTTTTTTGCTGAAAATAAACAAAAAGTGGCATGTATTTGACTCGATCTTCATATATGTGCTATTGGGCTATCTAAACAGCAACCAAAATCAAAGATAGTTCTAACTTTGCAGCTTTTGAATACTTTTAAGCAAAAAGAGAATTTCTATTGTAGACTAACTGTCCACTACCTTGGGTGCCTTGAGGCATGATTGCTTCTCATTGTGCTGAACTATTACCAATCAATAAATGAATTATCGATCTTGTTGAACATAATTGGTCTCCATTATAATGTCATCGCAGAGGTAACTGTATCAATTGCTTTATATAGCCCCCAAGCTTGTAGAACTTTGAGTACAAAGTCTCTTAAGGAGACGTAATTTGATGAGTGATTTTTACATGCATAATTTTAAGAAGAGTTCAAAGTTGTATATGATGACTGCACCAAGGTGCGCTTTTTTGTACACACTGAGAAAATTACACCTTTAAGAAAAAAGTGTAGTAAAATAGCTAAATTAGGCTATACTGAATAGCTTAATAAAGCTATATAGCTATTTAAAGCTATATAGCTAAATCAAGAGATTGTACTGGACCTGCTTACATTGATTGAGTACAAATCAATGGTTAATAAAACTAGGAATTGTAATGTTTTTGTTTTATATGAAAACAAGATGTGTTTGTAAAACACTGCGCCCAGCGGCAACAAAGTAAAAACATATTTTTAGCATATAGGTCACATTCAAGGTCACAAGGTCATTGATCTTGGTGTCATTTGAAAGAACTTGAGTAGTGAAGTATGCATACCAAATATGAAGTCTCTCTCTCTCATGGTTCAATAGTTATGGTGAAGGTTCTAAAAAGCTATTTTTAGCATATAGGACACAGTCAAGGTCACAAGGTCGTTGACCATGGTGTCATTTAAAAGAGCTTAAACAGTGGTGTATGCATACGAAATATGAAGTCTCTATCTTTTACGGTTCAAAAGTTATGTCGAAGGGTAAAGTTTACAGAAAAAAACTATTTTTAGCATATAGGTCACAGTCAAGGTCACAAGGTCATTGACCTTGGTGTCCTGTGAAAGGGCTTAATTAGTGGAGAATACCTGCCAAATATTAAGTGTCTATCTTTCTTCGTTCAAAAGTTATGGCTTAATTAGTGGAGTATGCATACCAAGTATGAAGTCTAAAACATTCATGGTTCAAAAGTTATGGGAAAGGTTAAAGTTTGCAGACAAACAGACAGACTGACAGACAGACAGACAGGACAAAAACAATATACGCCTCGGATCTTTCGATCCGGGCGCATAAAAATGTTACTGTTATTAATAAAACAGATAAGAATTTTGTTTATTTGATAAGCCTTAACCATCGTACCTGATTAGTACCCTTATCTTGGAGCCTAATTAGTGTCCTAGTTTTGGTGCTTATCAGATGCCCTAAATGTATCAAGTGTCTTGACACCTAACGATGGTGCAGAGGCCCTAATACTTGGAGTCGATTGCCCTAATAGGTGCCCTAATGATGGAGCCTAATGCCCTAAGTTAAAAGTGTGCCCTAATGATGGAGCCTAACGCCCTAACAGGTGCCCTAACGGTGGAGCCTATCGCCCTAACAAGGTGCCCTAAATCACGTTAGGTGTCAGACAGGGTACTGGTATATAAGGAGAGAGGGATAGTGAGTATATACATAGCTTGGATTTGAATTGTAAAATTACTCTTGGATATTGTTAATACACTCGTTGAAACAAACTCTGGCGTTGTTCTTATGTTAGATCTATAAAGATCTAAAGTTCCTATCTTAAGCACAGGACCCACAATATTTTGTGACGCAGGTAAAAACAAACACCCCATAGAGAAAAACGTTACAGAATGCTATAAACAATTTAGTTATGATATAATTACAAAGAATTAATTGTAAATGTTCTTGTTCATATGAAGTAATATTAATTGCAAAATGGAAACAAATGTCAATGTACCTTCTATTCTTGAAAACTCTTTTTTTAGCTCACCTGAGCCGAAGGCTCAAGTGAGCTTTTCTGATCACATTTTGTCCGTCCAGCTGTCCGTCCGTCTGTCTGTCCGTCTGTAAACTTTTCACATTTTTGACTTCTTCTCAAGAACCACTGGCCCAATTTTGACCAAACTTGGTACAAAGCATCCTTGGGTAAAGGGGAATTTAAATTGTTAAGATAAAGGGCCAAGTTCCCTCACAAGGGGAGATAATCAAGAAAAGACAAAAATAGGGTGGTGGTCATTAAAAAATCTTCTTCTCAAGAACCACTGGGCCAGAAAAGCTGAAACTTATGTGGAAGCATCCTAGGGTAGTGTAGATTCTAAATTGTTCAAATCATGACCCCCGGGGGAAGGGCGGGGCCATAATGGGGAATCAAAGTTTTACATAGAAATATATAGGAAAAATCTCTGAAAATCTTCTTCTCAAGAACCACTGGGCCAGAAAAGCTGAAACTTATGTGGAAGCATCCTAGGGTAGTGCAGATTCTAAATTGTTCAAATCATGACCCCCGAGGGAAGGGCGGGGCCACAATGGGGAATCAAAGTTTTACATAGAAATATATAGGAAAAATCTTTGAAAATCTTCTTCTCAAGAACCACTGGGCCAGAAAAGCTGAAACTTATGTGAAAGCATCCTGGTATAGTGTAGATTCTAAATTGTTCAAATCATGACCCCCAGTGGAAGGGCGGGGCCACAATGGGGAATCAAAATTTTACATAGAAATATATAGGAAAAATCTTTGAAAATCTTCTTCTCAAGAACCACTGGGCCAGAAAAGCTGAAACTTATGTATCCTGGGGTAGTGTAGATTCTAAATTATTCAAATCATAACCCGGGGGAAGAGCAGGGCTACAATTAGTAATCCAAGTTTTGCATAGAAATATATAGGAAAAATCTTTGAAAATCCTCTTCTCAAGAACCACTGGGCCAGAAAAGCTGAAACTTATGTGCACATGGAAGGATCATGGGGTAGTGTAGATTTCAAAATGTCTAAATTATGATCAGCGGGATAGGGTGAGGATGCATTATGTATTACAAGGGGGAAATCTGGTAAAGAACGGAATGGTCAAAGCTTCTCAGGTGAGCGATGTGGCCCATGGGCCTCTTGTTTTTAGGTCACCTGAGTAAACTCAGGTGACCTATTGCTATCACTTTTCGTCCGTCGTCGTTCGTCGTTCGTCGTGCGTCGTGCGTTAACATTTGAACATTTTCAGCTTCTTCTCTGAAACCACTGAACCAATTTCAACCAAATTTGGCATATAGCATCTATGGGTGAAGGGGAACAAAAATTGTGAATTTCATGGGCCCTGCCCCCCTGGGGCCTGGGGGGTGGGGCAAAAACCACTAAAATTAGTGCAATCTTTAAAAATCTTCTTCTTTACTCCTGGACATCAAGCAGTCAAACTGTTTGCATGATTGTAATCAGCATTGAGTCCTCTACCAAAATTGTGAAATTCATGGCCCCGGGGTCAGGGGTTCTGGTGTTAGGGTGGGGCTAAATAAGTATATAGTGAAATTTCATGAATTCTTTGAAAATCTTCTTCTCTGCTCCTGGGTATTAAATAAACTAACTAAGTGCATAGTTATGATGAGCAAGAGTGCCTCTACCAAAATTATGAATTTTATGGCCCCAGGGTCAGGGGTTCTGGTATTAGGGTGGGGCTCTATAGATTATATAGTGAAAATACATAAATTCTTTGAAAATCTTCTTCTCTGCTCCTGGGTATTAAATAAACTAAATAAGTGCATAGTTATGATGAGCAAGAGTGCCTCTACCAAAATTGTGAATTTTATGGCCCCAGGGTCAGGGGTTCTGGTGTTAGGGTGGGGCTCTATAGATTATATAGTGAAATTTCATGAATTCTTTGAAAATCTTCTTCTCTGCTCCTGGGTATTAAATAAACTAACTAAGTGCATAGTTATGATGAGCAAGAGTGCCTCTACCAAAATTGTGAATTTTATGGCCCCAGGGTCAGGGGTTCTGGTGTAAGGGGGGGGGGGGGGGGGGGGGGGGGCTCTATAGATTACATAGTGAAAATACTTGAATTCTTTGAAAATCTTCTTCTCTGCTCCTGGGTAATAAATAAACTAAATAAGTGCATAGTTATGATGAGCAAGAGTGTCTCTACCAAAATTGTGAATTCTATGGCCCCAGGGTCAGGGGTTCTGGTGTAAGGGGGGGGGGGCTCTATAGATTATATAGTGAAAATACATGAATTCTTTGAAAATCTTCTCTGCTCCTGGGTATTAAATAAACTAAATAAGTGCATAGTTATGATGAGCAAGAGTGCCTCTACCAAAATTGTTAATTTTATGGCCCCAGGATCAGGGGTTCTGGTGTAAGGGGGGGGGGGCTCTATAGATTATATAGTGAAAATACATGAATTCTTTGAAAATCTTCTTCTCTGCTCCTGGGTATTGAATTAACTAACTAAGTACTTTGTTATGTTGAGCAAAAGTGCTTCTACCAATATTGTGTATTCGATGGCCCCAGGGTCAGGGGTTCTGGTGTAGGGGGGGGGGGGGGCTCTTTAGATTATATAGTGAAAATACATGAATTCTTTTAAAATCTTCTTCTCTGCGTCTGGGTATTAAATAAACTAAATAAGTGCATAGTTATGATGAGCAAGAGTGCTTCTTCCAAAATTGTGAATTTTATGGCCCCAGGGTCAGGGATTCTAGTGATAGGGTGGGGCTTTATTGATTATACAATGAAAATACACTAAATCTTTGAAAGTTTTCTTCTCTGCTCCTTGGTATTAAGCAGATGAACTACCTATGTAGTTATGATGAGTAAGGGTCCTAATCTTCCAGAATTGTGAATTTCAAGGCCCCAGGGTCAAGGGTACCATAAAGGAGGGGGGCTGTACTTATATACTGAAACTGGATGAATTGTTTGAAATCTGCTCCTTGGTATTTATCAAATATTTTTGAAAAGCAAGGGTGCCTTTTCAAAAATTGTGCAATGTGTGGATCTAGGCCTAAGGGTCAGGGGTTCATGTGTGATTGGGGCATTACTGATCATGCTGAATATTACTGATTACTTGAAATGCAGTTTTGTTCCCCTACCCTGCCTATGGGTATTAAGTAAACAAACTAAGCAACTGCTAAGTGTATTGTTATGATGATCAATGGTGCCTATTTCAAAATTGTGAATGCCATAGCATCTGGATTAAAACATGAATCAAATTCAATCACTGGAAAGTTGTTGCATAATGCTCAGGTGACCTATAAGGCCCATGGGCCTCTTGTTAAACTGTTGCGATGGAAATTTTAAATGTGTGAAAAAAGAATATGAAATATTTCTCCTCCTCCTTTAGAAACAAGTGTTACTTGCAATGTTGATTGTGGTACTGTTTGAGCATTGTTACATTATCTGTTAATCTGACATTGGAGTTTTGTTTTTTATAGCTTTGTCATGATAGAGGATACTTGGTTACCCAAGATGAATTAGATCAAACTTTAGAAGAGTTCAAAGGGCAATTTGGAGACAGACCAAGGTACTTTATAGTTGAATGATACACTTTACCAGAGAGAAATTTTTACACAGATTTTAAGTTAAAACTTTTTAAAGTATTATTTAAAGAACTTGACAGGTTCTTAACATACATACAAATTTGGGGTTGGATGATTGCAAAGCACGAGTCTTCACCCCCTATTCTGTATGAATGATAGAGAACCTGTTGAATTCTCTATATGAAAATGATGAAATCAAAATACTTTTGCAACATGCATGTATCTGCTTACAGCATAAAGCAGCCTTGTATATTCAACAGTACATGGTTACAATGATTAAGGATACCTCTTAAATTCAAAAACCTAAATGCACTAATTCTTTGAAAATATTCTTCTTTGCACTTAAATGTTTAATAAACTTAAAAAGTGCAAGATTATGATGAGTAAGGATGCCTTGTCAGATGTAAATTGTGAAATTCATGGCCCCAGGAACAGGGATCTTGGTATTGTTGCCTGGGGGTCAACATTTGTCATGGTAAAAGTTTAGATGGGGGGTTGGGGACTTTCTTGCATGAAACTGGACATAATTTAGTCATAATAAATGGTAGTGAAAAAATGTTTCACATTGGTAAAAACTAAAAAGAGCCGGGGCAGAATTTTAAAACGTTTTCATGAACAATAGGACACAAGGTCTTGGAGTGAAATGGTTCACCTCTGTATCAATTCACTGGAGTATATTTTCTCAATTTGATACAAGGTGCAAAAGCTTTGGTTCTTTTTTTCAGTCGGTATTATTCAGACAGATTTAGCGTAGGTAAAAACGTGTTACTCAGCATAATAAAGTGATAAAAACGTAAATTTTTTAGGGCTGATAGTTTGTAAAATAATTTGTAACAGTCAAATCATTCTAATCAATTTCTTCTAGTCAGTGGCACTTAATTAAATGAAGGGACTAAATTTGGTAAAAGAAAGCATAAAACCATGCTGACTTTGTTTCCTTTAATCAAAATTTACAGTATCGAAAATACTGTATACAGGGTTATTTTCGCCCTTTGTAAACAATTTTGCCTGTCAGAAAGAAAGACATCCAAAGACTTAAGGACTAAATTATGGATGAATATGATGTACATATGATGTAAATAGGAACAAAAAAGGCCACAAACTGTTAACCGCAATTTACTGTAACTTTAAAACTCGTTCAAGTCGTGGACCTGAGTTTTGTGACTGCAGGTTTCAGTTATCTGTACATAAGCCTCTGAAAGGAGGAGACTGGTGACTGATTAACATCGCTATCCATGTGCTTCTGTTTGTTTTTCAGTGAAAGGAAGCCATCTAGAAGTGACCTTATCGTATTAGTAGCTCATAATGATGACCCAACAGGTAGGTCAAGTCTCCTTGTCAAGTCATTACTTCATAACTCATATAAATGACATTGTCAGAAACTGTGTATGCCTGTATGTATGTAAAGTATATTTCACATAAATCAGTTCTTACTGCCTGTTCCACTAATCATTCCTTCTCTAACTCCATTTCCACAGATCAAATGTTTGTGTTTTTTCCTGAGGAACCTAACGTGGGTATAAAGACAATAAAGACGTACTGTCAGCGGATGCAGGAGGAGAACATCACACGGGCCATCATCATCGTACAAAACAAGATGACACCGTCCGCCAAACAGTCCCTCACTGACATGGCACCCAAGTACATACTGGAACAATTCCTGGAGGCTGAGCTTCTCATCAATATCACAGAACACATGGTACTACAATGAAGCGCATTGAAGTGGTAAAATTTTCCGTTTGAATGAAACGTTCTGAGTCATGTTTTGAACGTCAATTACAACATAATGACACGCCCATATTTTTAGAAACGAGAAAGAAATATTCGTCGTAATGTTTTAGGACACCCCATTCTTCGCGACAAGCAATATGAGTTACACTGAAATGGAGCTTTAAAAAAAAAATAGAAAAGAGAGTTAGAGACGCTCTGCTCCTGTAAAACACAAATTGCAACGAATATGTACATATTTTTTAACTTAACATGTCTATTGAAGTTACCACAACACATGTTTCGGTCAAACACGTGTTTACTCGGTATTTATTTAGACCGTCAATTTCATTGGCTATTATATTTATGGAAAACCTGTTCTACAGGTATTCGAATAAACAAATTGGCCGATTTACCCATTTCTAAAGAAATGGGCGTGTCATAAGATGACATAAACTTTCTAAAGATAGCTCACATTCGAACAAAATTTTACCACTTCAATGCGCTAAATACCACTGGCTTGTTAATTGAAATCAGTCTAATATGGGTTAAATAAGTCTCTGAGAAGCTTTTAGCTCACCCTATTGAGAGAGTCAAGTGACCTTTTCTAATCCCACTTTATCCATTGTCTGTCTTGTCATTGTTGTTGTTGACATTGTAAACTTGTAAATTTCAATTTCTTTTTCAGAACTACTTGGTCTATTTTAGCTAAACTTTGTACAAGGTATCCTTGGTTAAAGGGGATTTACGTCTTTTCAAATGAACTGCTATACCCTCGTACAAGGAAAGATAGTTATGTAAAAAAATCAAAACGGGGCAGATTCATTTAAAAATAGTCTTATGTATCATTCTGTCATAGATCCGAGTTTATTCAAGTCATCACCTCCAGGGGTAGAATGGCCACTATTGACAAAATTTTACATAGGCATCTGTACGAAAAATCTCTAAAATTCTTCTTGTCAGATTTCTTCTCAGGAAGAACAAAATAAATATAAATCATGTTGATATGGAAGGATCCATTGTAAGTGTTTGACTTAAGTTTGATCAGTGCATGGGAGGGCTGCAATGGGAAATCAAGTTAAACATACAATTGTAAAGGAAGAATCCTCTGATGAAGAACACCTAAGCCATTGTCACAGGGTCACGGTCTTGTTCGAAGGATTCAAAACAAAATTGGTTCGGTTGTTTAACAATTTATTTATGGATATAAAGTAAAACCTAGAAAATAGAAAAACACTCTCACAACACTCATACAAAACAATACACATAGACAAACATGAAACATGAAGACATTTCAACATTTACGAAAGTAATAATTAATAGATATTTAAATGACTGCCAATAGATTGTTACATAAATTAAACAAGTAAATGAATTACAAGACTAATGAACATCTTACCAGGCATCCAGTATCAGAAATATATTATATGCTGTACATCGATAAGTCATATTTATATAGAAGCATCCATAGGTAGTGTATATTTATATTTGTTTAAATTTGGTCAAATTTTAACCACCACTTGTAGGGAAGGGTTAAAACAAATGACAAACATTTATTTTAAAAAATCTTTTTAAAATCTTTGGAACAGGAACAGGATATTCATGATTAGTTGTATTGAATCGGAGCATCCTCAGATAATAATAAATATAGAAGTTTGTTCAAATCATGACCCATGAGGGTAGGGTGGAGCCACATTGGGTAATCAAAGTGAAACACGACATGAAACGTTTTGTTGCAGGGCGAACAGGACGACATGACTGCCTTGGCCAATCAGATTCCTTTTTACAAGTGATTATTTATATGATGTATAATAAATTCCTTTGTAGCTTGTTCCTGAACATGTTGTGATGACTCCTGAAGAGAAGGCAGAATTATTGGCCAGATAGTATCCTTACAAATTCTCAATGCAGATCTCAATGCATTATTAAGGGATGACAAAGGTTCACTAGTTAATTTACTTATCATTTGGAAATTAAGACTGTAATTGGTTCACCTTTCTTAACCTGTAAGTCAACAATTTTTTTATGTACCCATATTTGTACTTTTTACATATATGTAGATATATGCCCCGGTAATTGAAGATTCAAGGGCATAAGTTTTTGGTCCATGTTGCAGAATTTGTAATTTAAATTCAGAAACATAAGAAAAAACACAAACATTATGAATATGAACTTATCATATAAAATATAATATTTACAAATACAGTGAAACCTGTCCGATCCGACATGCACTGGGAGGCAAATTTTGTGTCGGAATAGACAGGGTGTCGGATTGCACAGTGTAAAAACAAAGATAATACTAAAATGGGAAAGAAATTTAATGTCGGAATTCACAGTGTGTCGGATTACTCAGGTGTCGGAATAAGACAGTTTTCACTGTACTTTTTTCTGCTCGATATTAGCTTCGGCTATGAAGACAGTCACAAATTAAGAACAGCAAAGGAATAACAACTCAGGCTAGTGCTCTGGCCCATGAGCCTATGTCAGATAAGAACAAATTATTCACATGTTTTGATAATCCTTAATGACAAAAACAGCAAATTGAAAGAGTCCCAGTTACCCAGAATACAGCAAGGCGACCCAGTAGCTCGATACTTTGGTTTAAAAAGAGGACATGTAAATATCTTTTGTACTTTTTTAGGTCACTTGAGTAAACTCAGGTGACCTATTGCTTTCCGTTTTCGTCCGTAGTCGTTCGTTGTGCGTCATGCCTTAACATTTGAACATTTTCAGCTTCTTCTCTAAAACCACTGAACCAATTTCAACCAATTTTGGCATATAGCATTTATGGGTGAAGGAGAACAAAAATTATGAATTTCATGGTCCCTACTGCCCTGGGGCATGGGGGTGGGGCCAAAACCACTAAAGTTAGTGCAATCTTTAAAAATCTTCTTCTTTACTCCTGGACAACAAACTGTAAAACTGCTGGTATGATTGTAATCAAGATTGAGTCTTCTACCATAATTGTGAATTTCCTGACCCTAGGGTCAGGGGTTCTAGTGCAATGGCGGAGCAAAATAGATTATACATGTATAGTGAAAATGCATAAATTATTTGAAATGCTTCTTATCTGCTCATGGGCATTAAATAAACTATCCAAGTGCATACCGGGTAGTTATGTTGAATAAGGCTGCCTCTTCCAAAATTTTGAATTTTATGCCCCCAGGGTTAGGGGTTCTAGTGCTAGGGCGGGGCTATAAAGATTATACAAGTATAGTGAAAATTAATATTTTCTTCGAAAATCTTCTTTTCTGTGCCTATGTATTAAACCAATGAACTTTGTACATAGTTATGAGGAGGAAGGATGCCTCTTTAAGATTTGTGAATTTCAGGGCCCCAGGGTCAGGGGTTCTAGTGCTAGGGCAGGGCTCTAATGTTTATATACTGAAAATGCATGAATTCTTTGAAAATTATTTCCTCTGCTCCTGGGTATTATGCCAATGATATAAGTGCATATTTATGATGAAGAAAGCTGCCTTTTCCAAAATGGTTAATTTCTTGTCCCCTGGATCAGAGGTATTTGGAGGGGGAGGGTACATTATCTGAAAATAAATTAATGCTTTGAAATCTGCACTTTGGTATTAATCAACAATGTATGATGAAATAAAATTCATGACAAAATTTCCAAAATTTTTAATTTATATGGCCCCAGGGTCAGTGGTTCCTGTGGAATGGGGTGCACAACTGGTTACAAAGTGGAAATGCATTTTCTCTTTGTTACTCTGATCTACCTATGGGTATTAAGTAACCAAAGTAAGCATGCTAAATGTACCATTGATAAGTAATGGTGCCTCTTTCAAAATTGTGAATTTCATGGCCTCTGGTTTAAAACACGAATCAAATTCAATTGTTGGAAAGATGTTATGGGATACTCAGGTGACCTATAAGGCCCCTGGGTCTCTTGTCTGAAATGTCAACATGTTACTATAAATTATATTTTTGGATTTTTTGTTAGCTGCTAAATGAAAAACACATTCTTTTTCATTATGTAAATGACAACGAGCATATACTGAAATTTCATCATAATTTATTTGTAATTATTTTGTTCAATCAATTTAGTAACAAAAACAGATTGCTAATAGCTTCTAAATGTTTTACTTATTAATTTTGTAATTTAGGTTGTAAAGATCATCAGAAATTCAGAGACTGCAGGGAGATATGTGAGCTATCGCTTAGTTGTATGAAACAGGACAGGACCAGAGAACAGGAACTGGACAAAATAACACTTTTGTTTGGAACAGTGTGCTGTTTCATAAGGATGTATCTGAAATACATTTAAACAAAAACTTTATTTACTGCAGTAAAGTCTAGTTAAAAAGTTATCTTACTAGTGTCAAGAACAGTGCTGATGAACATTTGGAGATATAAAAGATTGCACTAAGGGCAATTTTCTGTTCATAATCATTTCATTTACCCATACTGTATTTTTAGGCACATGGGTTATGCAGGTAGCCTTAATATATGATGTCAACTGTCATGTGTAGAGTATTCAACATTTTCTGTTCCTTGTCAAGAATTGATGTACCATTTTAACTTGTACAGTGTATTCAGAGACAAGATGTACAGCTATATTAAAGAAGTAATAAAACTCATTTGTGTCAGTACCTAGCCCAAAGACACGTACTCCACTCTTTGTAAATGTATACTGTTAAATCACATATTTTCGTGGGGTCAAATTTTCGTGGTTTGGGGAAAATCTCTTGGTTTGTGGGGGTTTGATTTCGTGGATAAAAAATTAATGAGTACTTATATATGTAACATTTTACATTTCGTGATGGACATGAATTCGTGGGTCTCGTTATACCTTGAAAACAACCAAAATTAAACCCCCACGAAAATTTGTGATTTCACAGTATTATAGTACATGTAAATTGAGAACAAATAAGGATGAAATTAGAACTGATAATTTGTCATCATTTTTCAATTACTAATATTATCAGCAAATATACCGTATATACGTTTTTGTTTTTTGCGTGTTATAAATTTTGCGAAAAGGGGGTCGAGTTTTTTTTTGCTTAAGTTATTTTTTTATGATTGAAGATTTTTTACAAAAAAATGATAATGTTTTTATGTCACGTTATAGCTTAAATTATTTCTGCATATTTCATATTTTGCGAATCAAAAATGATTACAGAAAAAGCGAAAATTAGATCATCACCAAAAAAACGGATATACGGTAATATATCATTAAGTCAATTTGGTCAAATACTGACTGACATTTTTAAACTTCGTCATGCCATTAGGACAATTCTCAGGTAAGTTTGGACTTTCAGTAAGGTGTGGCATTCTTGGCACTATGTAATTAACGTCTGTCAAATTGCAAATAGATTCTCATTGGTTAAGAAATTGATAACATCAGGAATTTTAAATTGTTGTTGACAAGGATGAGGCGACTTAAGCTCCACCTCTTTGCCGGGCAGGACAATATTATTGGTTATTCAGTACACTCATCGACATTTACCTGATTTTCTATCCCACGTATATTTCAACAGTGAATGAAAGCTGTGTAAATTTCAGATGCTAATTATGTAATGTGGAGAATGCCATGCCTAAGTGAAAGTCCAATTTACCTGAGAACCATCAAATTTTTCCATTTGCTCAATTATGACAAGTGGCACACAGCCGACATGACTGATCAACAGGGGATACTTACTCCTCCATGATACCTGATCCCCATGATGTTTTTGAAGATATGTGTTTGCTTTGCTCGGAAAAATCTTTGGTCTCTAAAATACAGTTAAAACAAGATGTGTTTATGAAACACTGATGCCCCCGTATGGCAACATTGGAAAGATTAAACTTTTCTTAAATGCAAATTTAATATATTGGTACCAAAAGTAGGGTATTCTCACTGGAAATACAATTGTGAAATATAAAAGTAGGCCAAGGTAGTTTTTTCAAAGGAAGGGAAATCTTCAAGGTCAAGGTCATTGGTATCTAATAAAAGGTATTGCCACAAAAAGTACATACCACGGAATGTAAAGTATGGAAGCCCTATATAGACCTTACTGTTCTGAAGTTATGGCCAAGGTTAAAACTTTTTAAAGGTACGTTAAACTCCATGGTCAAGGTCAAATGTCTTACTATCAAATGAAAGGTCTTGTCACAAGGATTAAATATGTGAAGTATGAAAGCACTAGCTCTCACAAGGATTACATGAGTGAAGTATGAGATCACTAGCCCTTCGTGTTCAAAAGCTAGGGTTAAAGTTTTTAGGTCAGCTGAGTAAACTCGGGTGACCTATTGCTATCCGTTTTTGTTCGTTGCGTCCGTTGTGGGTCGTGTTCACATTTACACATTTTCAGCTTCTTCTCTGCAACCACTCAATCAGTTTCAACCAAATTTGACATAAAGTATCTATGGGTAAAGGGGAACAAAAATTATGAATTTCATGGTCCCTGCCTCCCAGGGGCCTTAGAGGTGGGGCCAAAACCACTAAAATTAATGCAATCTTTAAAAAAAATCTTCTTCTTTACTCCTGGACATCAAGCAGCCAAACTGTTTGCATGATTGTAATCAGCACTGAGTAATCTACCAAAATTGTGAAATTCATGGCCTTTGGGTCAGGGGTTCTAGTGCTAGGGCGGAGCAAAGTAGAATATATAGTGAAAATGCATTTTTTCTCTGCTCTTAAGCATTAAACTAACTAACCAAGTACATAGTAACATGTATGTTGAATAAGGCTGCCTCTTCCAAATTTGTGAATTTCATGGTCCCTGCCCCCCTGAGGCCTGAGGGATGGAGCCAAAACCACTTAAATTAATGCAATCTTTAAAAATCTTCTTCTTTACTCCTGAATATCAAGCAGTCAAACTGTTTGCATGATTGTAATGAGCATTGAGTCCTCTACCAAAATTATGAAATTCTTGGCCCCGGGTCAGGTGTTCTAATGCTAGGGTGGGGCTATCTAAAGATGATATAGTGAAAATGAATTATTTCTTTGGAAATCCTCTTTTCTGCTCCTGGGCATTAAATAAACTAACCAGTACATTATTATGTTGAATAAGACTGCCTGTTCCAAAATTGTAAATTTCATGGTCCTGGGGTCAAGGGGTTCTTTGGTGCTGGGATGGGGCTATATATATTATTTAGTGAAAATGCATTATTTCTTTAAAAATCTTCTGCTCTGCTCCTGGGTATTTAGTAAACAAATACATAGTTATGTTGAGTAAGGCTGCCTCTTCAAAATTAGTGAATTTCATGGCCCAGGGGTCAAGGGTTTCTGGTGTTAGGGTGGGACTCTATCGATTATATAGTGAAAAAACATTGATTCTTTAAAAATCCTCTGTGCACCTGGGCATTAAACCAGTGAAGTATGTGCATACAGTACCGACCAGACCCAACCTGACCCAAAGCAGCCCTGAGGACTGCTTTCTGGGACTGCTAAAGCAGTCCCACAGCGGTCCCAGAGCAGTTCCACAGCAGTCCCAGCGGTCCCAGAAAGCAGTCCCAGTGGGCGGGGTTTATTAATTTAATGGGTGGAGCTAACTCAGAAATGAGATTTCCAATAAACAATGGAACTATAAAAGGCAGCTGAAATTTTTTCTGAGCAGTATGCCAGGAATCCTTACTATGCAAAGGTCATTTACATGTATGAACGGTACGTGCATAGAAACAATTTGAAATAATATTTATTGTAGGAAGAAACCTTTCACACCTACATAAATAAATTACACTGAACATGAATAATTAATCACAATTTATCGGGGGGGGGGGGGGGGGGGGGTGGGTTGTAGGTTGTGATTTGATACTGGTTCCCATATTTATTTTTTTTATACAGAAAATCAAAATTGAATTAATTATATTCCACCATAATTAGTTTTAAATAGATCTTATCTTTATAGATCATGGCTGATTTCCATACTATCGGGATACTCTAAAGGCATTTTCTTAAGTATTTGGGCTTTAGAAAAATTCTTTGTTTATTTTGCCAAGTAATATTTTTCAGTCATGATTACTTCTAATGACATGTCAAATTAAATTATTTTGAGTTTTCCTAGCTCTATAATACTCAGTTTTATGTGTGTGTTTTTTTTTTTTTTTTTTTTTGTAAATATATGAGTGTACATTTGTAAATAACCAGAAAGGAACCCTCAGATTATGTTCAAAATTAATAAATCCTGAAAGAATTAATTTATATACATTTCATTTATTTTATCTAGTTTTTTTGCATTACATTTTTTACATACATGTAGATTGAAATTAGGGTCATTGTTAATTGAGCAGCATGTTCAATGATGTGTAACACTGATACATATACCCAAAAAACATGCACAAAATTCACAATTTTTGTTCCCCTTAACCCATAGGTGCTGTATACCGAATTTGGTTGAAATTGGTTCAGTGGTTTCAGGGAAGCTGAAAATGTTCAAATGTTAACACACGACACATGACAGACAAAAAGATAGCAATAGGTCACTTGAGTGACTCAGGTGACCAAAAAACATATTTCCTTATATAAGTAAAACTTTGATGATCTATTGTGGCCCAACTCCATCTTCTGAGGTTAAGATTTGAACAAATATGACTAAATGTGGCTTTTGCTATTTTTTAAAGACAATCTTTCCTATATTTATACTTTCATGTGAAACTTTACTTGACTTTTTTGAATTCACTAAGACCCTGCCTTCGGTTCAGGTAAGCTAAAAAACTACTTTGAAAGCGAGCAATACACAGAAAAGGGAAGAAGAAGGATGTCATGACCATTTTACTCTTGAATCTACACTTAATACAGATGCTTCCATACTTCTTCGACTTATCAAGGATGTGGAATTTTGACTATATGTTTGATCTTCTATTGTGACCCAGTCCTACCACCGGGGAACATGATTTGATCAGACTTGAATCTACACTACCTGGGATACTTATAATCATGGCTATGCTGTTCTTGGAAAGAAGATTTTTACAGATATTTCCTATGTATACCTAATAAAAATTTGCCCATTGCAGATCCTCCCTATCCCTGAAGGTCATGATATAAATAAACTGGAATCTACACTACCTTAGGATGGATAAAATATCACCAATCATGGTTTGCTATTTTTGAGAAGTTTTCATTTTTTTCCCCTCTGATTTCCTATGTAAAAGTTTGATTGCCCATTATGGCCTAACTCTACCCCTAATGGTCATGATGTGAACAACCTTGAATCCACAGTATGTCAGGAAGCTTTCACCCAAGTTTAATTTTTGAATCCCCTTTACCAAAAGATACTCTGTGCAAAGTTTGGTTGGATTTGGCCCAGGGATCAATCTGCAGAAGATAAAATTGTAGCAATCACAATGACAGACAATGGACAAATTTTAATCAGAAAAGCTTTCTTGAGACCTTCTGCTCAGGTGAGCTAAAAAAAGGTTTGATTCTACACATACTATAGAATCCATGTATCACTCAGTTTAGGAATTGCTTTTAGAGCACTAAGGACTGAACACAATGTTAAATGAGATTTTGATTCATTTATTTTCCTCCTCGAGATAATTAAGACACATCACCCCCTCACAGAGAGGTTCATCTTAAAACACATGGACTAGACGACTCTACTGATTTCTATAAATAAAGCACTAGAAACACATTCATGCTTCACATAATGACACAAGAAAATGGGATTACAAAAAAATTGTACATACAATAAATAAATCAAAATCATTATCACAATTGGCAAACAAATCATAATTCCAATACAACTAGAACAGTTTTATTGTTCTTAATTAAGACAGCACTTACTTCTCAATTATAGTATAATACTGTGTTTGATATACAATCTAATTATTCATTTAAAAAAAAATTCCAAAGGGAATCTGATATTTGTGAACATTTTCCACATAAAATTGTTTTCTACATCATTTTTTGATGGGTTTAATGAAATTCATAATCACTTTATATGAATGTTTCTTTTCATACACTACTGAGTGTAAAATGTGTCATTCACAATGACCAAAACAACAAATAAATCCACTGGAAAACAAATCTGAAAAAAGACTTTGAATAATATTAAACAAAATATCTTCTCCACAAAAACTATTGTGCAATAAAATATATAGCAACATAAACAACAACTAATAACAAACATCTCTATACTTTGTACAGCCATAGAATACCAAATAACACATGATTGGAGAAAAAAATCTGACTTCAAGTCAACAAAACATTTGATTGATACACAATATGGTAAAGATTAAAACTGGACAGTACTCCTGCAGATTTCTGATGTGGACTGCTAGGGGGTGACAACCCCTGATAACTGAGGTAGCACTTGATAACTTGTTCATCACCTCTGCAATGAAATGATACAAAACAGGAAAAAAAAACCCACAAAACCCTAAACAGAAAGGTGTACTTCGTTAACATTTCACTAATCTCACAACACTTTTACATAGTGACAATAATGATGTTTCAACTTGCAAGATAAGCTTGCATTTAAAATTCTATGGCTTATTGCACAGTTTGTTTTAAACTATTGCCTTTGTCAGCATTTGCATAATTATATATTGATTAAATCAGAATAAAGGTCTACTGAGCTACTAATTAGTGAGTGACAGTGATGTACAATGATGCACAATGATAAAGTCAGAGAAGTTCCGAATGAGACTGGACAGTATGCGATTGCAGCAATCAAACATTGAGACAAAATGAGACAAAATGTGTGTTACTGTAACAACAAAATTGTAGAAGTTAAAAGGACCTCCCTGGGTACTCTTTTATCATTCATACATTCATCAACTATTGTCTTGTGCAGAAAAAAAAACATCTATACAGTTTTCAGTAGCACCATTCACGATACGCAAAACTCTAATAAACAAAAAAAAGATTGAGAAGAAAATCTTTGCACATAGTGTCTGGGTCCATAAATTAATTGCTTCATGGAAAACGGATAACAACATATAAAAAGGATAATTCATAGAACAAAGCTTAAATTTTTAAATTATGTGCACATAGAAAAGAACACAAGTAAATACATATACAGACAAATAGAACTGTCCAAAATGGACAAATACCTCCCAGTGGGGTTTTCAAAAAAGGAACCAAGTTGCTAAAAATGCTCTATGGATCTAGATGTATTCAATACTTGTTAACAATGACAGTCAGAAGCTAATTGCTCATTTTTCAATGAATGATGATTTAAACCATATCCTATTAAAGGGTCCAAATACTTAAATTTTTTATTGGAAAACTTAACTGCAACCATATGTTATCTTTGAGGGACATGACACTCTACAATTTGTTTACTGAGATAGAAGAAAATGAAATAATTTACAGATACTATATATTCCACACCACTGTGTTTTTGGGCAAGGATACAGAAATAAAGGGGGAAAAATAATAGTAAATTTACAAGTACAATCATGACAATACTGGACATTTATACCTTCAATATTCATGAAGCCATTTTTGTCTGTGTGTGTGTGTGAGGATTGATTAAGCAAAAGTGACTCCACTGCATGAAATAGAAAAAAGATAACTGCAGAAGGAACAGCTTTTTTAAAACTACAAACCACTGGCATTTCTGACAGGATGTGCAAGTTTTCATTTCAAATTCTTGGCATTATGTTGACATTACTGAGAAAATATGAAAGCAGCAACCTATAGTTATAATGCTACAACTAAATCTCCTTTCTTGGACATTCAATTTTTTTGCTACTAAAAAAATGTTAGAAAACAATCAAACAGATTTGGTTTGCACCATCTTAATCACAGGTACCTCACACACAATGTATGACATTTAACATTGGTCCCAAACACATACACCACTGGAATATCTACCTCAATCATAAACCAAATCTTTCCTTGATTAAATACATCAGTTTTTTCTTTCCTTTGTACACTAATTTCATATTCTCTATCAGTTGTGCAAATTGAATGTGTCCATCATGAGCTAGTAGAAAGGTTTCCCTTGCTTTGCTAAGGAAGTCTATAAAGTCACCATAATGACGCGGGCTTATGTGAGTCAGTTTTGAATGGGTTGTGGCAATGTAGGCATGAATTGTGGCATCCATTAATTTCCTGAGAGGGTCCTTGTCATAAGACAAGTGTTTTATTGCACGGCGTTTTCCATCAGTGCTGGCCAGCCCCGGGGCAGTTAGGGTACACCGTCTTAGTACGTCTGATAACACATTGGCACAGTGAACATTATCTGTCAACAATGGAATCATATTGGAAAGTTCATTCTTTCCCAGATTGTGGCTGAGTGCACAAGCCCAGTGAATGTCATTGATTGCGGGGTGAGTATCGTGATTATAAGACAGTTTGAGATTTTTCATGGCCAGCAATGCTAGCTTGTATGCTCGGTTGGGGTAACCCCTGTGTTCCATGTACCGGGCGATGTTGAACAGTTGACTGGAATTCATGATGTGAGCAGCTGCATCAATGACTATTTGATAGGCAGTTTCAAAGGCAATAGGATCTTTTTCACACAGAGTCAGGGCACACAGTGCACAGTTTTGCGGATCTTTGGTGGCACACTGGAGTGCAAGTTTTCTTGCATGATTGGCCAGCTCTTCCTGTTGGTGGAAGTTAACATTTAACTGCATCATGGTGCTGCGAGACATAATGTTAGTAGCCACCATACTAGTGGCCTCTATGGGTTGAAAAAGCTGGAACCAGTTTTGCATTATAGAGACGAGAGCCTTAATGCCCACCTCCATGGCACAAGTGACCAGCCATCGGACCATTTCTCTCCTTCTCCAGTTCATTGTCATCAGGGTCATCCTCATCACCTACAAACAACAGTGCACCAGTTCATTACCAAGGTCAAATTCTTTTGAATTTTCTTTTTTTAATTCCAGTTAATTCACTGAGGTTGTACAGGATTTGTATCATGATAATTTAAAATCAACTTTCATAATTTCCTACACAAATTTTGACTTTGTTTTTGGAAACTAAAAACTAAGTATCAGTATTCTGTCCTTCGTCACTTACTTGTAGTCCTAGCTCAAACGCAGCATTCAGGGCCGGCATGTGTTTAGGAGCGTCAGCTGGGGTGGCGATTTTGAAGACGTCTTGGGCGAGCTTGAACAACTGAGAGGAACTATGAATGTGTTTCTGGGCCACCTCTAGTACGGTCTTCAATCTACCGATATCTTCTGTAACAGGTTAAAAAACACAAACAAGTGAACATGAATGAATCCAGGATAATAAAGGTGCCCCAATATATTTTTTATTGCTAGACCTATAATTTTGTCCACAAAATGTTCTTACAGATGGCTGCAGTGAGACAATCTCAATGAAGTGTCAGGATATTATACAAAATATTAATAGGATTTACACATTGTCAGGACCCTAAGACTCAGCCAGTAGATAACAGATCAGCTATATCATCCACTTCAATGTACTGTACACAGGGTTATTTTCAACCATTCGCACTTTGCTATGATTTTGCCCATTTCAATTTTGTGATAATCTATAAATGCTCCCATGTAGATTTATCTTATGGAAAAATTGTAAAATTAGGTTCACACAGAAAAATGCTTGGTAAGATAATTTTACCAAATTAAGGTACCTTGGAATAACATTATTTGGTACAGCGCTTAAAAATATAAGGGAAAATAAGCATGAGAGGTTCAATTCACAAGTAGGTGTAGGACATTGAATCTCTCATATTCCTTAAACCTTAATAATTCCTAATTCTCTCTACAATATCTGTTTTTCAATTGTTAACTGACCTTTTGCCGCCGCCAGCAGCGTACATGCCAGTTCACACTGCTGTCCCTCAATGTGACCCAGAATAAACCAGCGAGGAAAGCGACTCAGCATGGCTGAGCCAATGTTATTGATTCCATCATCAACATCCTCTGTGTCCTCCAACACTGGCAGTCTACAATATACAACACAGTAGGATAACTTGTGTACATACATACAGTCTGGAAAATTCTATATAAAGAGACTAGAGATCACTTGAAGTTCACGGGACTCAAGCAAACCCTCAAGAGCTAGATCACAAGTCAGAGTTAAGTGTCTAAATTTTCAGATTGCTGGACTGGTTTATTAAAAAAAAAAAGATTAAAAAGATTCCTCTCTCTCATACAATGCCAAAAATTGTACAGGTACTTAACAATGATAAGATTTTTATGATATATATACAGATCTTGAAGGTTTTTTAAAAAAGATAATACATGTATATTGCCATTCTAGTTATTTTTCCCCTATAAGACAAATCATGACAGTGTTAAACACAAGAAAACAGCATAGTTGTATTACACTATCAAATACTGCTAATGTATACCCATAATTTTTGTTGTAACGTGATAATCTAGGTGTCAATGTTACATTACAATGAACAATGTTTGAGTTAACATCTTACATCTCACAACAAAAATGTTGATAACCAGACAAACAGCTGACCAGACTGATGGGTGAATGGATTTACAGTTTAATTCTTACAGGGCTGCTATAAATTAAATGGGGACTAAAAAATTACTAACTGTATCATATTCTTGAATTCAAGCAAAATCCTAGTACTGACAGTTTTCATGAAAAAAGTCCTAAAGCCTATATATAGCATAAGAATTCAAAGGCTGACAAACCTCATGGAACGTAGTCCAACTCGATAGGCCAAGTTCTGGTCATATGTTAGTAGACTGTTGAATAAAAATTTGGCAAATGTGTGCATAGGATAACTCTCTGCATGTATGCCCTCTCCTAGTCCTGAACCACTGCCACCTACAAAATTTGACATCAAATTATAAAAACCACATATTCTCAAAACTTTGTGAATTTCTTTAAAGCTTTGTCATTGTAAAACCTCCACAAGCAAAAACCCTATAAGACATAAGTAGTAGAACTCTAAACTTGTTTACAGGAACGCTCTTATTTTTTCTTTATTCACCTTTAAGCAGTAAGTCAGCTTGTCGCCTCATGACCTCCATAAGAGAAGTGTCCAGTTCCACGCTTTGTAACCGTGACAACAACTTCTCTTCCTGTTTGCAGGCCTTCTCCTGTGCGTACAAACCTGAAGGCATTTGTCTTTGCTGCCCAAGACCTGGAAGAAGAATTAAAGAATTACAATCAAAAGGCAAAATTTCACGAAAAATGCTTGAAAACCAGGCTAAACCACTAAAATATTTTACATGTACATACAAGTCTAACTAAAAAGTGAGTAAGTGTTTATACTTACACATTAGGGCTACTTCTAGAGCCATGGTGAGATAAGACTCAGTTCTGTCTTTGCTGTTGGGGATGGGAACATGGCGGTATCGAGGGGGAATACAACTGGGATTGTCACCAGAAAATAATCGACCACTGAGGCTATCTATAATAATCAGGAATATCTTATTATAACATGGATTGAACTGCAACATTTTTTATTTCAATGAATCATAGTAATTTACTCAAATGTCAATTTCTCGGCATCAGATTGATTCTTTGTATTTTTCATTTACGTACAATTTTAATTTTTATGATCATTATGAATTGAAAACTACACAGCAAAACTTGTTTAGTACGAACATGGATATTGCAATTTACGGATACAGCGACGTCATCTTGGATCCCCAGCTATATAAAATTAATGAATTTCTTATACGGTTATAATGAATAAGTCCTAGTGACTTCGTTATAACCGAGTTTTGCTGTATATATATTCATGATTCCTTGAAATTCTTCATATGATAATAAAAAAGTATATGTATTGAATGAGGATATAAAAACAAATTAGAAGTCGCTCATGAGCTCATTTGAATCTTTGGATGGCTAATTTCATCTTCTCTTGCTAAATAATCAAATAAATGTGGATTCCTGAATAAATGCCTCCTTCCACTTTTCCTGTGATTTTGAACTCTAACCTGCTTGAGAAGTATCCTCAGTGTCTATGGAAGCTTCGGTCAGGCTGTCGTACAGAACGCCTACAGGGTCCAGGGCGTGACCAATCCAGCCTTCCAGGTTGTTCCTTGTCTTGTGTGTACAGCCTTTACTTGTACTAGGCATATCTATAATTGCCAGCATCAGTATTGAAAATCTATTTCCATTTTTAAAAAAATTCTTTTGAAAAGATGTTACCAAAGCCTGTACAGATGTATATAATTGTAACTGACCTTCATTTTGACATCTGCACCATCCCTGGTTGACTCTCTGTTGGTGTTTAAGAGATCGTACTATGGCCACCGCTAGTCGTAACGACTCTTTTACATAACCATGTGAGCGCAAGGCATCAACTCGGGCACAAGCAGTGGGGAAGTGTTCTAAAAATTAAAAAAAATTCTTGAATTCGCTCATTTAATCATCCAAGCAATTTTACATTTTAAGTACCCAGGCCCATCCGTTATTTTTTTCAAAATAATCACTTATTCTTATAATAATTCCATTGTTTCTGTTTTTTAGGGCAACTGATTAACATATTAAATTAATCCAATATTTTAATATTTAATTACATTATATTTGTATGTGCATAGCTTAACATTTTCTTGGTATGGAAATTTTTAATGAAAAGCTTTTCCTGTTATCTGAATTAATTCTGTTTAAAGCAGCATGTTAATAATTGACAAGGCCATTGTGTGCTTTAAGGTCATCTTTTACAAACATTATGAAATAACTTAAACTGAACAAATCTTTTCTGATTTTTATGTACTGTACAGTTGTTTATGACAGGTGGTCTCTTAATACAGGTTGCTTATTTTCTGCAGTGTTCAAATATATAATGCTGAAAATATCACATGTATGTTGAATGTATTTTACAACACCTTATGTTTAATACCAATTATCATTAGGCACTGCTCAACTCTAAAATGCTTTTACAATTGTCCTGTTATTAAAAAATAAAAAAATTTTGATCTGCACATGATTAAGTCATTTGAATATTGGGAAATATTGTGAACATCTGAAAATACTAGCATTAATATTTTTTCATACAGTATAAAAAAGTTTTTCCCCCTAATACAGTCTGATTAAAACCAGCCCCCTTCTCCTTTCACTCGAGTGAAAGGAGAAGGGGGCTGGTTTTAATCAGACTGCCCCTAATAATAGTTTGTTTGTTTTTTTTTTTACATGATAGCATATATACAACTTCGTATATTACTAAGAATAAAAACTGTATCATGATTTTTTGTTATGCACTTGGTATCAAATTAAATTATATTTATGACTGAAATATTTCTTTAACCTAATTATTTTTTTCATTACTGAACTACCGTATCTAATTGCCTGTTTGTGACCAGGTAATCATCACATAGTGTGGGTGCTAGCTAGCGTGTGTTTACATACCCATTGGTGACACAATGCACTTAAATAAACATCAATGATTTTGTTACTTGTTAATTAAAGTTAAACAGACAGGTTTTATAGCTGAATATCCATTTGGCCCTTATAGCATGAAATGATATCGGGATCGACCTCGAACGTTTATTTTCAAAATGGCGCTCGATCACTGGACAGAAAAACGTGATGTTTATGTTTTAGATTTTAATGTTTATTCAATAAATATCAAAGCGTAAGTAAAAATATTCATTTTTAAATGTTGTTTTATTCGTAAAACTCGCATTATATAATTATTAAATGAAATAAAAGCGTGTCTGTAGTTAATTTGAACCAAAAACGAAGCATGCTCGATCGAAATCGAAAGTAGGAAAAGGAAATTATGTAGTCGTTTAATTCAGGTAAAATTGCTTGAAATGACCAATAATGGTCAGGAAAATCACGGTCGTTGGTCGCGTAAGACAGGTGGTCGTTTAATACAGGTAGAATATATAGGGAAAAGCGTTGGGGGGAATTTTTACGGTCACATGTGACAGTGAGTCGCTTAATACAGTGGGTCGCTATGGCAGTTTTGACTGTAGATTTATTTTCCACGAGAAAAACAAATTATGAGTGGACAATTGATGAAAAGATTTTATATGGATTTTAGCATAAAAAATAAATAAATAAAATCGATTAATTTTATTTTGCTATAATTTATTCCTCCTGTATATAAATATAGTATACAGTAAAACTTGTTTATAGGGTACATACTTTGATGAATCTATACTCCTCAGCAATATTACCAAACTTTATGATTATGCTCCTCTGGTATATTTAGAGACATAGTGTTTTTCTAGTTCTGTCTCTGTTTGATACGTACCGTGCCACATAGGGCAGTCCGGGTAAGCCGGGTCCTGTCCTAGGATCAGTTTTAAGTGAGAGTCGTGCCACTTCAACTTACTGGCTTCTAATGCCCTGTGGAAAATGGTCCTTGGCTTACGGGAAAAAGGGGCTGCAGAAAAAAATACACGAATTAAGATTTATTAAGAATTCATCAAAGAAATAAAAGTAAAAATTCAATGAGATCATCCTGTAAATACTCTGCAAGTAATCTAATTTACAACTTATAAATTTATTAGGAAACTTTAGATATGAAGTCAAATCTTGATGACTGATAAAAAGCTTTGAGAAATCCAATGATTTGAGATATTGGGGAAAAGATAGATAAAGAAATAGTGGCTGGGAATATAAACTAATTCAAACAAATCCATGGTAAACTTACAGCTCTTGTAAATGTTGAGGAGAATTTACAGCTATTGTCAGTGTTGAAGAGAACTAACAGCTAATATCTGTGTTGTTGAGGAGAACTTACACTATTGTCAGGTTTGTTGAGGAGAACTTACAGCTATTGTCTGTGTTGTTGAGGACTTACAGCTATTGTCTGTGTTGTTGAGGAGAACTTACACTATTGTCAGGTTTGTTGAGGAGAACTTACAGCTATTGTCTGTGTTGTTGAGGACTTACAGCTATTGTATGTGTTGTTGAGGAGAACTTACACTATTGTCAGGTTTGTTGAGGAGAACTCTTACAGCTATTGTCTGTGTTGTTGAGGAGAACTTACACTATTGTCAGGTTTGTTGAGGAGAACTCTTACAGCTATTGTCAATGTTGTTGAGGGCTTACATCTATTGTCAATGTTGTTAAGGAGAACTTACAGCTATTGTCTGTGTTGTTGAGGACTTACAGCTATTGTCTGTGTTGTTGAGGAGAACTTACACTATTGTCAGGTTTGTTAAGGAGAACTTACAGCTATTGTCTGTGTTGTTGAGGACTTACAGCTATTGTCTGTGTTGTTGAGGAGAACTTACAGCTATTGTCTGTGTTGTGAGGAGAATTTACAGCTATTGTCTGTGTTGTTGAGGACTTTCAGCTATTGTATGTGTTGTTGAGGAGTACTTACAGCTATTGTCAGGTTTGTTGAGGAGTACTTACAGTTATTGTCAGGTTTGTTTAGGAGTATTTACAGCTATTGTCAGTGTTGTTGAGGAGTACTTACAGCTATTGTCAGTGTTGTTGAGGAGTACTTACAGCTATTGTCTGTGTTGTTGAGCAGGAGATCAACATTGAGGACATCTGGGTCCTCCAGAGGACACACATTACAGGAGGACCACTGGTCCAGCAGGCTCTGCCAGTAGGAACGCTCACTGCTAGAACAGTTAGGATTCAGCACCACACACACCCATAATGCACCTACAAACAGTAATAAATCTAAATGCCAATATTTTTATCATCTTAAATTTTCATGTTATTTGATTCTTTGATCTTCATCTTGTACAAAATAAAAAAAAAGCTTTCTAGTTATAGTCTTGTGCTTTAAATAATAGTTTTTCTGCTATATCTTATTCCATTGAAATCTAACCTAATTCATCCCATAGTTGTCTACACTTGTCAGACATCGGTTGTTGTTGAGACTTCCAGACAACCAGACGAGGGTCTGCCAGGAACTGCTCAGTGATCAGAGTTAACATTCTAGCACCATTGGAATCTCGAGCACGCAACATTTCACGAACCTGAAAGATATATCAGAGTTATGAAGGATTCTAAATGCACTGAAGTTTAAATATATATAAAACAAGACAATTAAAATGTTTAATGTATTAGTTACTAATTATTCATAAATGACATTCCAAATCTGATTTTAATTACACCTTTTAAAATATTTTTCACTTTTATCAAGAAAATATAAAACATGCACATAGAAACTGAGCTATAGTAAGCATATACAGCAAAACTCCGTTAAAACGAAGTCAGTGGGAACTAAAATTACTTTGTTATATCCGTAATTCGTTATTTTCATATAAGGAATTCGTTAAAAATTTATATAGCTGGGGATCCAAGATAACTTTGCTTAAATCCGTAAATTCGTAATATCCGTTTTTGTACTAAACGAGTTTTGCTGTACAAGTAACATACAATTACCTTGGCAAACATAAATGTAAGCTGGTTGGCCATGTTAAGATAGCCGCCCTGGGATAAGTAGCACCGGACAGTTTCTCTGACCTGATCCTCGTCCAGATGCCAACTGTTGTCATCGTCCACTGAGGCACCGGCCGTGGGGTCAGGAGCACCTACAATCAGACCGGCTAGTTAGTGGGGGGTGTACATAGAATCACAATTAAGTAATGAATGTAATATGTCTATTGTCCTTGACCTTTAATATATGACGCTGATATAGGTTATGACAAACCTTACTTTATGGACACAAACAGCTATGCTCAAGCCCAAATTTATTACAGAGAAACTAGTGAAACCTGCATCTCTCAAAATTTGAACAATATATAATTATATGTATTTCAATGGTGTTTTTGATCAAAGGTCCATGTGGACCTTAATAAATTTATGCCCAAATACAACCAAATACCAATGGGAAGACAGATGAACATTTGTCCAGTCGGCTTGGTTATAATGCACTGCTGTACATTTTGTAAGTTTGTACCTGAGTAAAGGGCCAACTGCAGGGGCCATTATTTCACAATTTACAGGGCTCATATTGCCTACAGTAGCATTTCCCCCTAATCCTAAAAAGTAATTGGGTTAAGGATTGAAAAATCAAGTGTAACCAAACAAAACTGGGAGATTTGGCAACTTGACCCAGACCATAAAATCAGATTTTTTTCTGTTTTCTCTTCATCTATAAATGCTATACACCAAATTTGGTTCGAAAAATTTAGCATTTCTAGAGGAGAATAAATTTCAAACTGTCTGGTTTTCCTGAATTCTAAAAACATGGCTGCATGTTTACATTATTTTCTTGAAAAATTTTTCTGTCCTTTTGTTGTTGTTTTTTTATATTAATGTGTATCTACTTGCTGTATTTGACCTCCAGTTCTTAGTTTATGAGTTAGCCAAAAACAAAAAAAATCAAATTAATTGCTGTCCTTGTTAAAAAAGGATTCAAAATTAAGTTTCCTTCTCTTTTAGTCATTGTACCAGTAAAACTTTCACTCCTTCAAACAAAGGCTTATTATTGACATCGTATCAATATGCATAATAGACTTTCCTTGCATACTATTTCATTGATTGAATCTCTATCACAAGTAACTTTAGATCACAAAGAAAATGGCTGTGTACATCAAAAAAGGCAAGACTAATCACGATATGTTAAAATAAATTCTCCCCCTAGGCGTTATATAGCTTTTGGCTGAATAATTCATTGGTCTCTTCCGTAAGACTTTATTTGACTGATTTTAGTTACAAGCCTCTTAAGACAATCATTTTTTTATATTGAATCCTTCATTAATTTTAGAGAAATAATTCCAAAATTTGGCAACCTGAATGATGTATATACAACCAGTGATTTAAGGTCGCCACACTTTATTTCAGAACCTGACAAGAAACAAGGCATGATAAGCCTGCATCAATGCTGAAAAAAAAAGGCCAGGTAAAAAATTTATAAACTTTGATATTATATCAATGGTGAACTTATTTTCCTCTGTTGTTGTTGTTTTTATTTTTATATACAATTCCCTACCTGGTAATAAGTTGATTTCTGATTTGGCCCGCAGAATTTCATCTGCGATTTTCTGAGACGTTGGCAGGACATCGGTATGGTGCTCAGCTATCAGATACTGAGCAAACTTCTGAAGCTGTTCCCGACTCATTTGTAAAAGAGTTTCTGTAAAGTTAACGTATATATCTTAGATTTTGAAAAGCTATTTTCTATCATTAAAGATGGCTTAGTGTTGTAAATTTGTTATCCCCTCATTATAACTTTTATTATTACAAGTACTTTTTTTTATGCTGCATTCAATAATGTAAACATTAAATCCAAATGCATAACACATATTTCACATAAATATTTTTACTTGTTATACTTATAATAAAAGAATCAGTTTCGACGAATGTCCACCATTATGTGTATAAGTGGCCCTCCTTACCTGAGATAGGGACTCGCAGTTCCACTGTGTCGGCCCTCCTAATGCGGTATAGGGACAGAGCCACCACATGTTGGCACCAAAAGATATCTTTGTTTCCACAACCACATTTGACAGAGGTAATCTTACATCTACAATGATAAACAAGAGGCCCATTGACCACAGTGCTCACCTGAGTAATTTTAGTTCTGCTGTTTTTGACTACACATGGGTTTCTTAATCTACACTACATTGGGATGCTCCAATATTAATACTACTAATAATATGGGTTTGCAGATGTGAAAAAGAATAAGTTAGAATTTGATCCTGATTTTAGCCATTCTAACTCTGGATGCAATGAAAAAAAATTTAACCAACTTAGAAAGGTCCAAAAATGACTGGTTCTTTTGTGCTTCTTAAGAATTAAAAAAAAAAAATCCCCATGCATATACAGTCCCATGTGAAACTTTGATCCCCTATTGTGGCCTCCATCTACCCTAGGCCATGATTTGTCCAGTGGTTCTCGAGAAAAAGATTTTTAAAGTCTGAACAATTTAAAATCTTATATAATACATCTCAGAAAGTTTTTAGCAATACACAAAATTCACCTTTTCTGGCCCAGTGGAACTTAAGATTTTTTTAATGACCTTATCTTATTTTTGCCTTTTGTTGATTATCTCCCCCTAGAAAAGAGACTTGGTCCTCCATTTGAACAATTTATATGCCACCCAATCCAAGGATGCTTGGTGCCAACTTTCATTAAAATGGCCCGGATATACTTTAGAAGTAGATAAAATACATTAACAGATGGATTGTCAAACAGATAGATGCCAAACAATGGTTGATCAGAAAAGCTCACTTGAACTTTAAGCTCAGTGAGCTAAAAACTAATAATAGAAGCTGATAATGTTTTCCCCAATATTTTTGTGATGATTTCTATCAGAGGAATATCCTTTATAAACAGGTGTCATCCCTGAGTTTTAAAGTTCCTTTCTTTATCTTGTCAATGGCCTGATCAAGTTGGTCCTCTCAGTCTGACATTACATTCACTAACCACATGTTACAGGTCACTTTGTATTCTTCATAAATACAGGCTGTTTGAAAATACACACAAGGGTACATCATACAGACTTCATTCTCTTCTTGAACTACCGGTATACTCAGTTCCCTACACATTTTTTTAGGATATTTGTCTCTGATCTAATGAATCAAACATCTAAGGGAAAATACTCTTTTTTGTTTTCCATACTTCCTTTTCATGCATGTGAAGCCTTTATTTGAAAGTCAGGATTAGTAAACATAAATAAGACGGAAATTCAGCTACACTTAAGCACTGCCTTAATTTCCTTATGTCTGCTTCTTAATTCAGGGAGTTAAATGCTTTAAAATCCCGGGAATCTATTTTATTTGGATTTCATCCCATTGTAGTGCTGATCCCATTACAACGCTCACTGGATTCTGCCTTTTATTCTGCTGAACTGTTACTGATCAAGGGCAGACAAAATCAATACAAGCAGAACAAGAGATTTATATAATCTCCTGTCACAGGCACATTGGCAAACTTTTGTTCTAAAACAACCAGGGGAAGATAATGTGCTATGACAAGTGTCGGGTCCTGGATTGATCAGTCATTATCAAGCAAGTTCTGCTAGCCACTAGTAAACAAAGGGCCAATGTGTCACACTGCTCACCTGAGAAACTATGGCCCTTGTGTTCATCATCAGTTGATTCTTTTACCTATATTTTCCTATGACATTAAATTTTATCACTTACTTTGGCCTGCCCTACCTGGCATATGGGACATCTTGTTTTTTTATGAATTGGATGTGAGCTATGACAGGTAAACAGACAGAATGACAGACAAATACCAGACACTTTTCCATCAGAATGCTCACTTGAACCTTCAGCTCTGGTGAGTTAAAAAATGTACGCAGATTTTTATAGATGATTCCAGCTTCAATCATTTTCACTCAGAACATAACATACTTCAGCAAATATTTTAACGAAATTTTTATAACAGCTCTTCTTTTCCTGACAAGGAGATTTATACAACCAAAAACAGCCATGATCGCCAGCCCTCTTTATAAATCATCATCAGGTTCAGCCAAAAGCAAACCAAATTAACATCTTATTTTTAGAGTATTTCTGATATCACTACTGGCAATGGAAAACCTATAGAAATACATGTATACTAAATGAAGTACCTTTTAAACCTCACTACACTGCCCTTCCTGTGTCAACACATGCTTATAACCAGACAAACCCTAGAGCTGGTACATACAGCTTTACTAGTAAGCAATTCATACTTAATTTGTAATATCTAGTTTCAAGTATACAGTATGTTAAAACTGACACAGCCATTACATGGCCATATCCTGCTAGTTTTGGTAACACTTGGATATTGTAACTAAGCTCTTATAACTAATCAGACAGGGAAATTTTCTGTCCATTGTAACATTAAACTTCCTCTACAGTTTAATATTTATCAGCTTTCATGAGTGGCACATCAATGAAGTTTGGAACAAAAACATGACTTAGTTTGTGCAGCTTATAAATTTCCAAAAGATTACACTAACACCCTTATTCAGAATTAACCCCCCTTTCTTCTCTTTTGGTGTGTGTTTTAGGAGGGGATGGGGGCTAGTTAAGTAGCATTACTTTAGCATTTTTAAATATAAAGCTATTTGTATTTTACCCCTCAACAAAAAAGTTTCCAAACCTAAGTCTACATGGCAGACACCTGTGAAACAGCACCAACTGGCACTGAAATGTGTAGCTAAGCTTGATTAAGCTTTTAAACAAATTCATGAAATAAAGATCAAAAACAACTATTTTACAGTCTTGTGAATGCTTTAACTTTCAAAGTTACATTTAAATCAGATTTGGTTTTTATAATCTGAGTCATCCATGTACTCATTTGAAGGGGATTTACTCAAATTCCATGCAAATGATCAAACTGTTACAGTTGACTGAAATTTAAAGAAGGCTACAACATCTAACTGGAGTCAAACAATTGATATTGTCAGCCTTGTGAATACTGGATACTTATAAACACTCCTTCGTGGGGCTGACAAGCCCCCAAGGGTATTCCAACCAACCACTTTAGAAAGCCATTGTAAGTTATCGATGGCACTCATATTTGCCTAATACCCTACGAAAATGATTAAAGCACATACATTGCTATAATTCTTTAAATATTTTAAAGACAATACCCATCAAGGCCATGGTCACCTTTGTTTGCCCACACTTAAAATGGTCATTCCTCTACAAATTCATTTTTTCTCACTTAAAATGCACTGTCCACCTATGGCAGTTATTTCTTATCGAAATGAAGATGACTTCTCAACCATCTGAATAGAGCTTTGTATGGATTATCTTCTTTGACAAGGGAATGCCCACAAAAAGAGCTTGACAGAATTACGTTTTCCTACCTGTCGAAGCTGATGGAGACTTGATAAGGAACATCGGGGTCTGTGGAATACAGGGGGTTAGAGGGCTCCTTCACCGTCCCACTCAGGTGGAAACCTACAAAACATTATCATATATCACTCTACAAAACATTATCATATATCACTCAAGTGGAAACCTACAAAATATATTCATATATCACTCAAGTGGAAACCTACAAAACATATATCACTCCAGTAGTATAGTATTTATCTTCATATGATAAAGTATTTACATTCACAAAATCAAAATCCACTTTGGAACAGGAATGACTTCCTCTTTGTATTATCTTACGCATATGTATGCAACATTTTCACCCCTATAAGTGCTAGGAGGCAACAAAGAAAAGAGGTGTGGGGTGGGGTTATAAGACCTATCTTTAAGTGCACACAGTTCACATGAGTTGAGCTTTATAGCATATTGTGAAAATATATCAACAATTGTAAGATAAACTCTTCATTGGTGTTTCTGTACATCATCTTTGAGAATTTTTCCCTCATATGACATATCAAATACTGGTAAAGATCAAACTTCAAATTCAGACTTATACTCTGCAGTCTGAGTCCAATGTGTACAATGATGCTGGTTTACATCCTTTACAAGATGTATTGTATGTACTGCAAGATTATGCTCCTTTACAGGATGTACTGTATGTACTGTAACTAAGATTATGCTCTTTTACAACATGTATCTTATGTACTATAAGATTATGCTCCTTTACAAGATGTATTGTATACATATACTGTAAGATTATGCTCCTTTACAAGATGTATTAAATTTGCATGCACAGTAAGATTATGCTCCTTTACAAGGTGTATTGTATGTCATGTAGGATTATGCTCCTTTACAAGATGCATTGTACAGTATGTCCAGTAAGATTATGCTCCTTTACAAGATGTATTGTGTGTACAGTAAGATTACACTCCTTTACAAGATGTATTGTATGTACTGTATCTAAGATTATGCTCCTTTACAAGATGTATTGTGTGTACTGTAAGATTATGCTCCTTCACAAGATGTATTGTATGTACTGTAAGATTATGCTCCTTTATTTACAAGATGTATTGTATGTACAGTATGATTATGCTCCTTTAAAATAAGTACTGTATGCACAGTAAGATTACACTCCTTTACAAGATGTATTGTATGTACTGTATCTAAGATTATGCTCCTTTACAAGATGTATTGTGTGTACAGTAAGATTATGCTTCTTCACAAGATGTATTGTATGTACTGTAAGATTATGCTCCTTTATTTACAAGATGTATTGTATGTACAGTATGATTATGCTCCTTTAAAATAAGTACTATATGTACAGTAAGATTTTGCTCCTTTACAAGATGTATTGTATGTACAGAAAGATTATGTAAATAACAAAATAAGACATTAGGTATTTGGTACTAAGGCCTTTTCTCCATGAATTGTCAAATTTTTCAATTCATAAATGACAAGTATAAGTTTTAGTAAAGTGCAAACTGACATTGATAAATATATTTCATTTTTTTTTTTCTTATAAATAATAACAGATTTCAATCAAATACTTAAATGCTGAATGAAGGTTTCATCTTGAATTCTGTGCTGCTCAAAAAAAAAAGACAGCAGTCCATAAAATCACAAATTGTATTGAAATAACCTTTTTATTATATGGTATCTAATACCCAACTGATCAAAGAATGGTTAAAAAGGTAACAAGTTAAAATTACTGTTTTTTAAAAATACTGGTATCGTATTAAATTGATTCATAATTGTATTCAACCCTAGACAACATCAATTCAAAGATTATCCCCTAAACCTTGCTAACCTAATTGTAATTTGTTATTATTTTAAATAACATGTACCAGTAATCTTTTTAAGTGACTGTATTTCTGTAGCCCCACACGACCCACAGGACAAAGTTGATGGCTTGTTTGGTAGCAGGTGTAACCTTAATTTTCAGTTGCCTGAGCTAGTGGGCTACCGTCAGTGTCGAACCCTGTCTACCCAATGTAAACATTGTCTTTATAAAGCATCAAATAATTAAGACTTAAAAAGTTCTTCAATAAGTTAATACATGTATCAAGTAATCATATAATCATATATAAAAATCATATAATTAGATATTATTAGTTGCAGACTTGATTAGCTAGCATGTGAGATATGTCATGCCATTCCTAGATATTGTGTCTAGTAAATAATATTGCTGTTCCCTGAATACTGTCTACTGATAATTGATTTTTCACTGTTATTATATTTGTACAACATGAACACTTTTACATGCTTATCTTACTTTTTATTTATTATAAATTGTATCTTTTCATCCCAAATATGTAATAAAATTGCATAATTCATGGTTTATAATAAGAAACTCAGACAGATACACTGTATAGGCACAACTTAAGTAAGGAGGTGTGTGTGTTTTATCATATAAACAATTATTCCTAATCTGTATTACGTGCATTAATTTTAATAAAAGTAAAGTAAAGTGAGGAGTGTGATAATTTGATAATGAAATGTGTTTCACAGGTAGCAGGAAGAATTACCTGATTATTAATCAAAATATTTGGAGAAAATGTCATTGCACCAGAAAATGTCGCAGTTTCACCAACACATCAAATGAGGAAACATAGATATATATGTCATATTCTCCTACTGAACTGTCTACATATGTCTGGGTATTTTTTCCATTCATAAATCCTCCACATTACAAATCAGACAAGGCACAGTAATATTATGACATTCTTGCAAACACTTGAATTGCTGATGATCAAATTAAAAATCCAACTCCAGACATCTGAAACCCCCGAGTCTGATGGTATCAAAATCAGCATCTTCTGGATATCATAGTTGGGACAAAATGCTGAAAACTAAATTTTTGAGAGATGAATAAAGACATCCAAATTCCCACTGAGCTCTACCAATTCTAAATCATTATACCGGTAGTGTACCTTGTACTTTGAACATATCAAGTTGTGAACAATGATATTTTCTTGCCTGTCTGTTTATATAAAACCCCTTTCACTTTTGAAAATGAAAATTCATCATCTGCTAGCTATTTTGTATTTGGTAAACAACACCTTTGTTTCAACAAAAAAGCTGTATTTTATCCATGTTAAAAGATGACGTTCTAGGTTCAATTATACAGTCCTTCCTTTAGAACATTTTAACCCCCAATCCTTTTCCATAATTCCCCTACCTCCATTTTAAGGGAACTAATTCATAACTGAAATAACAGTGTAATGAATTAAGTGAATTCATTTATATTTTTTTTATCAAAGTTCCTTTTTCTGTCTCTCCAAAATAAAGGAGGGGATGTATTAAAACAAACCACCCTGGTACTCGAGTCACATTGAACCTGGTGAAGAAATGTGAAACTTTTAGACATGTAGAAAACAGGTACACATGTGTACTACATGGTTCACTTCTAGAAATACTGGTATACCAGTCAAGTTCTGATGTAGAAAAACTAGAAGTGGACCCAGATTTTAGCCAGGACCACTCAGTCAGCATCACTCTAACCAGGAAACATCGTAACTTCCTGTCGTCTTTGATGACTCTTGGGTCATAATTTTTTTTTCAGAATCAAACACCCTTCAATTATAACAGTAGTGGTACTTGGGTTTTATTAACTAGAAACACATTTTTTCCCATATTTTATCCTACAACATCAACCTGTACCAATCCTCTATTTCATATATTGCTGCAGTCCCCTTTTTTCAAAAGTTCACAACTTAAGTAAGAATTGAAATGGCAAGATTCTCTTTATCCATAACAGTATATACATGCCTCACTTTTCCTTCACAATTTTTAAAAAATATTTTTATATGAATAAATATATATTAAATTTAATCTGACCTTTCACTATTTATAACTTCAAAATATTATTCAGAACACCCTGGCAGACATACGATTTATTTTATTTACTAAAGCCAGTAAAGGATTAGCTGCAAGTAATTATTGCCAGCATCCAAGCACTGTTTCACTTAGAATTCCTAGACCACCATACACAGGATCATTTATATAATGCAAGAACACAAGGAAAACAAGGTGCTTTAGGCCATACCAATTTCTAATATAGTTCACTTACAAATGCAAATTATAATATTAAAAAAAAAATGTCTGCGCGCGCTTCCAAAAAAATCCGACTGCAATTTTTTTTTCTCGACTTTTTGCAACAAATACACATGTATGACAGATACGCGGGATTTATAGTGAGATTGAAGCAGTTTGTGAAGTTTTGCACCATGTCTGTAACTGTTCATAGGTACCAGGGATGTGAAATTAGCATCCCCTGACGCCCGGGGCTAACATTTTTGGGGGTCGGGATAGTGGTTTTCTACAAGGAGGTAGCCCGTCGGGCTAGTAAAAAATATAACTACACACGCAATAGCCAATACATGAAAAGCACAACCAGTATTTTAACTCGTTTTTGGCTATGAAATTCCCAACCAGTTTATAATTTCCAGACAACATACTCCTACTGTCAATAAATCTCCATAATCTTATCCGTTTGCAGAACTACCTGACTTATTTACTTCCAAAAGCGATCTTTTTTTCCTAATCCGAATTTCCTCTATTCCTCCGTTTATGGTAAATACATGCAGCTATATCTTTAAGGGGGCCGACTATAGTTTCCATTGCGCAATATTTCGCGCATCATAGTAAAATGAAGCGTATTTACTGTTTTAATGCAACTTTTTTCGCTTAATTATAAAAATTTTACAAAATTAAGAAATTATAGGTATAAAAATATAATTAAAATTTGATATAACTGATTTTTTAAACCGATTTTGCATATGATAGGTAGGTTGACGTCGTTGCAGTGTGTTTTTGACGTTATGATGATCTGTAGCTCTTAAAAAAAGAGGCAATAAAAATATAATTAAAGAAAAAGTAACAAACATACGCTCTTGAAATTTAAAACATAGAAATTTGAGATTATCTCCAATATTTTTATTATGTTTTCATATGAATCCATTGTGTACGTCATATTTTGTAATACTCTATAAAAATAGTAAAATTTGCTAATTTTTTGCATTTTGAGATGCCCCCTCTGGTAACAATAGAATTTTGTGTTTCTTACATATATTGTATAATATAGTATTAATCATCAAATATTATAATTTGAACAAAATGCCTATTGTAGTATTTGTATAATTTGCTTTAAAGTGCTAAAAATTGGCATTTTCCTATATAATCCTATAGTAAATGTACCTGTATTTTGAGACGGTCCCTCAAAAATACCTGGATGGTAGATTTCCCCCAAACTTTGCATGTGCACTGAAGTTAATGTAAGTTATATATGGTATAAAAATGAAGAGTTTCGCTATTGTAGTTTTCACACAATAAAACTATATTCGGCCCCCTTAAATTATTTACGATCACTCAATCAACTGAAAGATAAGTGTTTTGTGACTCACATAAAATATATTTCTTTTTTGAATGATTTAAGATGAAAACAAAATGAATTTAATTTCATTCTAAATGAGCTAGTGCAATGATCAGAGAAAAGGAAGATAATTTATTGAAGTTCCTTTTAATTTTATTTCATAAAAATTTAAACATGACTGAATTTGATATTGAGAATTTAAACTTTAACTTTAAAAAGAATGACCTCAGTACCCTGACTTTTATCAGCAATTAATTTCTTTCTAGTACTTGATTTTTTTAATTGCACTGTGTAGATCTACTATAGTTAAAAACAATGGGTACAAAGTTGTTTCATACACAGCAATAGAAATGGAAGCAGAGGAGATGTTTGGAAACATTACATTTATGAAAGTAAAGTCTTTGAAATTTGACACATTTTTACTTATTAAAAAAAATCTCCAAAAAGTTAAGAATGATAAGTTCATGTGGTATGCAAATGATATCTATCTTAATTTTTTAGGTTCAAGCTCTTTGAAATCACACTTAATTAAAATATATAAAATATTAATTATATTCGCTCGCCTCATAATTTTGAAACCCAAAATAAAAAATAATATTTATAAAAAAATTTCGCTCGCTCGCCTCACTTTTTATTTTTGAAAATCCGAAGAACTATTTTACAAATTGGTATGGCCTTAGATATATCACTGCACACCTCTGGGTTTTTTTTTACCCCACTATGGGGGATTTTTGTTTCAGGGCTGAACCAACATCTGATTCAGATGAGTTTGGAAAAACAAACTAAAACCATCCCAAAACATCCCTACTTCTAACTAAAATACACAAAATTCTCCTCCACAGACAATAAAATCTGATTCAGAGCCTAAATTTGTACTTCATGTTTATGAACAAAATTGGTTGGGGGGTCTTGACATTAGCTTTTTTACCATTTGACCATGCATCCTGAATAATGGCATCATTTACATCTGCAAAACATCTAAAATCCCAGATAATGAAGACTAGTTCTGGGGAGTGACACAACTATGATGGTTCTCTAAACAAACTTTCAATATTGACTAATACCATCTCACAAAGGAAACCTAGATAAATATTTGGACTCTATGATAAAAACATGATCAATCTTAGATTTTATTTAGCCAGAATTTCTTCAACAAAAATCTGCAAACATGCATGTGATAATTCATACAGTGGGAAATGAATTCAAATTCAATAGTGAAGTAGTTGATTAGAAAGCATTTTAATATTTCCATGCCTATGATATATTATTACTAGACAGGCCAATCTTATACCGAGATACAAACTGGTATATGTAAATACACATAAACACACAAATACCCAAATTTATTGCAAGTATTACGCATAATGTCATGAAAATCAAAGTCATTACCAGTACAGCTTTTGGGCACAAAGCCATTTTGCAACCTCATTTTGTTCTTTTGTAGAACAATGACGATAAAACTGTACTGAGCTCATAAGCTTATGACAGATTTTGCAGAACAAAAAAAAAGGTGCCTGCAGTCTTAATATTGTCTGAAGATCATCACACAAGAATATTTTTAGTGGTGGCCGAAAGGTTTATGAATACAAACCCAGTACCTCTGTCATTTTTTTCATATAACAGTCCTGCCCTAGGGTAAAAATAATAAAAGCAAACCCATGGAAATTGATAAAAGGGAATGAATATTTTAATATTAATATATGAGCTGCTTCATAAAATTATGCTCCCTTCAACATAAAAAACATAATCATGCTCCTAGAGAAGGAAACAACCATGGGAAACTTATTGCAATTTGTAATGGTACTCTCATCATGATCTTACAATCAGTGAACAGCCTTAAGGCAGCAGGTCTAATTGTATACAAGGCATGTAATTGGTATGCATTGAATAAAAACACATTAACAATGGTAAACTGTACACATGCATAAGAGTTAAGAAAGGATATACACAAAGAATAAAAAAAATCTCATGACCTAGTGATCAGTCCAAGGTAGGGCATCTACTCATTATCATTACAATAATAGGGCTATATATGGAATAGCATTAATGAATGGGTTTCAAATTTCCTGCATTAGTTAACACATGCTTATCTTCAACAAATATATTCTAAAATTTTTAGGGGACACTAATCAAACTATCAGTGTTCATGTATCAATTCAACTCTATAAAATGTATGTATTACTGATACAGAATGCTTTGACAAATTCTAATTCCTTCAGTAAAGTATTTAAATCTGATGGGTTTGATTCATGACACCCAGCAAATATGACTGTGCTCCGAAAAATCTAAACTTGTTACAAGTCTATAATTCATTATCTGGTATTGGCTTGGTCTCAATATCTTGCATATCTTGGAAATGTTATCTCTGATCCCTCATTTCACATGTTATATGCATTGATTTTTTTTTATTTAGAGGACTCGTTAACTAGTGTCTAGTGGGCCATATCTGGTTTCATGACATCATTACATGAAGAAAGAAAAACCCCTAGTCAAAGCCTGCCAACAATGTCAATAGAATGCTCTCTCAATAGTATCAGGTATTCAGTTGGAAATAGCTTAAGAAAATTTAATTCTTTTACAATGCCCTGTATACCAATAGCAAACCAAACACTAGGCATAATTCAGGCAGTGAGATCCAGTTATATTTATTTTTCTTCAAGTTCTTCAGTTGTAGTCCACTGTAGTCTGCATGTTAATGAATTTCCATGCAACATATTTTTTTCCACTTTCATAAACCATAAAATTTATACACGAGATCTATAGATTTTATGAGTTTTTGATTAATAATGTGTGACATACAATGCCCTTTTTAATTTTTAAAAGAAATACTTGATTGTTATTGATGTACAATTCAAAAGCCCGATTCACATTCCTTCTTTACTTTTTCATGAGTTTCTAAAAATATTTTTTTATATTCCTTATACTTAAGCTTCCCATATCATTTTATTTCATTTATGACAGTCGCGTGTACTATTTTAATATATGTTTAAAAACTGACATCTCCCATAAAAAAAATTAATATCAGGTTTCATACATTCGGCCATTGTTAATTTCCTGATGCTCTTCTTTTTATACATAACCGTGAAACGTCAATATTTTTACACATGGCAAACATAAAATGGATTTCTGATACCCATCGACAGCACTTTTTCACGTATGGCGCACTTCACGACCCTTTGCTTTTTTGGGTGAATAAAGAAAACATTCTTACCTATTTGTAGCACGTTGTCAACTGCCCCATTTTCTAATAACCTTACTCCTTGGTGAAATGGCAACTTTTGATTTTCTGCTCCATCTTTAACACAGTTTGCAAAAGATGAATACATGCAAATATCCCGTTCGTTACGGGGAAACGACCAGTACACAATCCTATTCTGAACGGGCTCAGGAATGCGGTCAAACCTTTGTTCTACTGTTTGAAACGGGATATTTTCTGCCACAATTTTTGCACATATATCAAGAAGGGATTCAACATGATAACATGGTCCATTTCTTGATCCACTCTTCCCAGATTTTCCTGCATTTTTGTTATTCCAACTAGGAGAAAATTCCGAACGTAGTCTCTTCGCCGCTGCCATGAGGAAACATCTGATAATACGGTAGTGCAAATTGCGCATGCTCAACTTAGGTGGGCGGTCTACTACTCAAGTGCATTTTACTATTAAATAGCTGTATGCCGAGTCAGGGCCTTCAATGGTTATCAATGAACGTAAAGGCGTCATCGATGAATAAGTAAATAGGCCACACACTATGCATACTTATATCTACTTAAATGCACAACAGATTATTTGTCAACAAAAGAGCAGACAAGTGCTGATCGATAAAACACAAAAAATAGAAGACTAAGGATCTTGAAACGTATTATAAGTAAGACGACAGAATGTCTTCAACGAAATGCGTATGCATCTGAGGGAATGCTATGGGAAACGATACACCTAAATTAAACTCCATCATCTTTTGATATCACCTTACATCGTTGAGATGCTTGATCAATAGGCCTAGTCGTAGGCCTCACTGGTCACCCGAGTGTCACCAAGCAAAAACAATATTTCAGACATCAAACTCGAGTTCAACTTTCTCCACTTGGTCTAACGTTATTTTTTAGTTTTAAACCTGAATTTAAATATATTCTATGTAGATGATTGTAGATTAAGTAATAGACCAGGGGCGGATCCAGGAATTGAAGTTAGGGGGGGCGCCAGATTCAGGCAGGGGGTCTGGGGGCCGCCTTGAGGCCCCCAGTGGGTCCAGGGCAAAGCCCTATGTAGAGGTTTTGTAGGGTTGTAGACATTTAAAACATTTTCTCGACAAACTATGTTTAATGCTTACTTTGACAATTTTAGGGGGGGCGCGCGCCGGGTGCGCCCCCCCTTAAATCCGCCACTGTAGACCTAAATCAGATTTCTGAAGTGTACCCAGGTTTTTCCTGGAATTGAAGAAAAAGAAAAGGAAAACCAGAAAAAAAACAACTTTTAAAGAAATTTCACACACTATAATACGCTTTTCATTTCACTTTTTTGAAATCTGGGAGATGCATTCATGTCTATTTTTTTTCTCTTTATTGAAAACATATTTAAAAAAATATTGATTGGTTACTTTGAAATTGAGCTTAAACAGTTTTAACACTAATTTCAGAAAAGAGAAGGATTGATTGCTTGTATGTTGTCCCTCACAAGAATTTTTCAGTCTCACATGGAGATGCCACCATGTACTTCTCCTGTATTGTGTTTGTCATGTTCGTATTCCGTCCGACCGTCCTTCCGTCATACTTTGCATTTAGCCAGAGACATATAATAAGAGAGGTCTCTGATTTAGCTCAGTTCAAAGCAAAGTTTCAGAGAAACTTTTCAATATATTTTTATCAAACTTCATATGCTGAGAGATGATACTCTGAATGCACCCAATGATGAGAGCTAAGCAACTGTCTGCATCAACATTTTTTGACCTTGACTTTTCCTTTGATATTGACCTCATTATTCATAAATTAGTGTTTAGCTCAGTTTTAAAGATACAATTCAAGATAGTGTGATCAAACTTCAAATGTTGATGCATACTGATGCAAGTTATTCAAATGCATCAATAAATTTGACCTTGACCTTTACCCCACTTTTCTTAAAAATAAGTGTTTAGTCAGTTAATAAGATACAATTCAAGATAGTATAATTAAACTTTATATGTTGATACATACTGATGTAAGCTATTCAAATGCATCAACATTTTTTGATTGACATTTACTTTGACCTTGACATTTCCTTTGAGCTTGACCTTTCTTTTCTTAGATAAGTATTTGGAACAGTTTGAAATAAACCATTAAAGATATTTTTATCAAACATGATATACTGATATATATAAGTGAGATCTTTTCAACTACATCAAAAACTTTCGACCATGCTCTTTACTGTGACCTTGACCTCCCTTTCCTTTAATTTGTATTTTGCTTAGTTTTAAAGAAACCATTTAAGATATTTTTATTTAAGCATACACTTATACATATTTGGGTGAGAATTTATCATCTATATCCTATTTTTTTAGATTTCAATTTAAAGAAACTGTTCAATTATTTTCATCAACTTCTTACACTAATACAAATTTTCTTGTTACACTCGGCGGAGCATTCGTGTCCTATGGGCATATTTTCTCTGTGATAACTCTTTGAAAGTTAGTGGAATTAATTTCTTGATAATTCTACTGGAATGTAAATAAGGCAAAGGGATAGGTCAGAAGCTAAGAAGGCCTAATATGCATGTAAATCTCCTGCTCTTTTGTCTTTGTGTCCGACGCTAAGAAGGCCAAATATGCATATTATAAATCTTGAGTGGCTGACTTTGTATTTGGAGTGAGAAGACTATTGGAATATACAGGAAGGCCTTGTATAATTGAAATCTATTAATCTACATTTTAAAAATCTATCTACAATTTTATTTCACAATGAAATGGAAATATAAGGAATCACTGTCTAGTTAGTAGAGTATGCCGGGGACATCAACGAAAATTGGAAACATGGGATAATTTATGCATAACAGTCTTTGCCCATTATGCAATTTATCCCATGTTTCCAATTATCGTTGATGGCCTGGCATACTCTACTAATTAGATTGTGGTTTCTTAAACCAAGAAACTATGTAGGCAAAAAGAAATGTGTGCACGCCTATAAGAGACAAACTGTGCACAACTATTACATTTGAGAGTGCAAGAGCAATCATATGGTGGAAAGAACAATCTGAGGAATACCGAATTGCCCAGATCAACACAGCATAGCAGATATACCGGAAGGAAACAAACAAAATGCCAGAGATCGATAAAGATTAACCCCACAAAGCAAGAGGTCCATAGACCTTATAGGTCACCAGAGTATCATGCAACAACTTTCTAACAATTGAATGTGGTTTGTGTTTTAAACCAGAGGTGATTTTTACAATTACCATTGCTCATCATAACTATACCTTCAACATGCTTACTTCAATTAATTGATTCCCAGAAGCAGAGTTGAGGAACAATGAAAAAAACAATAACAGTACATGTATATGATCAGCCGTGCCCCACAGGAACTTTTGACCCTGGGATCACACATTTGAGTTTCCGAAAAGGAATTCTTTCTCATCTTAATCTTTGAGTAATACCAAAGAGCAAGTGTTGTAACCACTATTGAATTAACAATTTCCACTACTGAAATAATTATATCAATAGTAGTTTAGAGTACATTTCAATAGCAAACATAGTTAGTAACCACTATTGAAATGCAACCACTATTGAAATAATTATATCAATAGTGGTTGAAGAAGCCCTGACCCAGGGGCCCTGAGATTTACAAATCTTAAAGAGACATCCTTCCTCCTCATAACTATGTACATAGTTCATTGGTTTAATACCCAGGTGCAGAAAAGAAGATTTTTAAAGAACTTATGCATTTTCACTAAATAATCAATAGAGCCCCACCCTAACACCACAACCCCCAACACAGGGGCCATGAAATTCACAATTTTGGAAGAGGCAGCCTTATATTCAACATAACTATGTACTTGGTTAGTTTATTCAATATCCAGAAGCAGAGAAGAAGATTTTCAAAGAAATAATTAATTTTCACTATACAATCTATAAAGCCCTCCCTAGCACTAGAACCCCTGACCCTGGAGCCATGAAATTTACAATCTTATAATAGACAGCCTTAAGACCAAAATAAAAAACACATTTGTTTCCCCTAACGCGACCGACCCAATTAAATCGCACCGACTGAAAAGATTTTTTAAACAAGATGATTTAAATATTATTTTTATTGTCAACAAAGTTTTATAAGATACAATTTCATCAAAGTCAGTTTTATCAGAACAGTTGACATTGCCCTTATATGATTATTTAAGCATTTGTTGGAAACAAAATGGCACCCAGATGTGATTAAAGAGAATTACTGAGAATTAGTTCTTCATAAAAAAAAAAAAACGGTGACGTCTCAGTGTTACGTCTTTAGCTAATTAGAATTCTTCACTCTTGAAATAATTTGATAATAGAATTTACCATGACTAATTAAGAGTATTTCGGAGGTGTCTTAGCGTCTCCATATGAATGAATAAATTTTCGAAATGGACGTTAAACAACAAACCTGTCTGTTGAATTTGAGGTACGTTATACATGGTAAGGGCCGCCTCATGTGCAGATGAGGGCCCACCTAGTGAAAACATCATTTAATTTCACTGCATCTTATATAATCTGTGTTGGTATTTCTTTATGGAAATCATTCTGGTACGTGTGCAAAGAGCGGTATGACCATTCTTTTCTAGACATCTGCTTTTAAACGATATGGACGAGGTCGTCATGATACCTCGTCATGATACCTCCTTTGGTGTGATCCGCCCCTTTCCCCATCATTAATTCTGATGACTCATTGGACTGGGGTCTGTCTTCTGACGTCATCGATGTGCAAAATTTGACTTTGGGCATATATTCCCTCATACTGTACTAATCAAATTGCTTTCTTTTGTACTTTTCTTATTTATAAAAGTAATATTTAAATTAAATTTTAGAATGTATTTTCAAAGCTGCTGTCAGAAAAATTTTTTTTTTACCTACCTACCGACCCAACATGAGAATTTAGGGTCGGGTTGGGGGAAACAAAGATATTTTTAATTCCGGCCTAATCAACACAACTACACTTGGTTAGTTTATTTAATGCCCACAAACAGAGAAGAAGAATTTCAAAGAATTTATGCATTTTTCACTATTAGCGAATTACTACAACTATTCACTATAAAGAATTAATATATTTTCACTATATAATCAATAGAGCCCCACCCTTACACCAGAACACCTGACTCTTGGGCCATGAGATTCATAATTTTGAAAGAGGCCGCCTTATTCAACATGACTATGCACTTGGTTAGTTAATTTAATGCCCATGAACACAGTAATGAGAAGAAGGATTTCAAATAATTTCTGCATTTTCACTGTATAATCTATATAGCTCATCCTAGCACTAGAATCCCTGACCCTGGGGCCATGAAATTCACAATTTTGGAAGAGGCAGTCATTTTCAACTCAACTATACACTTAATTAGTTTATTTAATACCCTGGAGCAGAGAAGAAGGCTTTCAAAGAAA